AGATACGACTATCGGAACAATGATCACTGAATCGACATTCCACATATCGACAATCTCGTGAGATAAATCCAAATATTCTTTATTATGCTTCTTTCCAACTTACCTTCTAGCCAAAGCTATAGAGAACATTCTTTTACTTAATAAGATGTGGTAATTTGTCAAGAAGCAAAGTATCTTACAAGAAAAACTTCATGCAAATCACCGGCATTTAAGTCGCCTTAGCGAAATCACTATATACTCAATGTCTGTTTGTGAAACCCTTCGCAAATATTATCTACTAAAATCATCTTTAAGAATTAAAAAGTATTTTTTTCTAACTTTACGATATAATAGACTATTTGTAATTATTCTTATATTTTAGCCATCACATCACATACACACATCAACAGCCTTTAATAGTCTACTGCTGGCCATAGGGCTCTCCTTAGAAAGGAGGTTTGAGCCTGCTATACCACGCTGGCAAGACGGATTGGTGTAGGGTTTTTTTCAAGTTTTCCTTCTCTTTGCATTGCTATTTTTGTGTAGTTAGCTCCCTTAGTCGGCTTTTACGGCACCCACAAGATAAAAGGGGGTGATGACACTCTATATTCTTAATCCGTCACCACACGGACTATTTTGTTAACCAAATTAAATATTTTTCAAGTTTATTACACTTAGAGAATATTTTATCTTTAATAACAAAACTCAGCTTGAGATATGTCAACCAATAAGGTTAAAACACTGACAAGATGTTCGTATGCTACAAGCCATTCACGCTAATTAGAATGTTTAGCGTCTATCCGTGACAGACCTCCCTGTAAGAGACGCTCCCTCATGACACGGCTCGATGCAGGCATGACACAAAAATGCGGTTAGCTGCCACTTTTACACGAAAAAATATATATAGGAACTGCTACTCTGTCGATTCAGAGACAAAATAAGGATCGGTTAAAGAATTTGTCGTGAATCCGAGAAAGCAGTTTATCTTCATATCTATGCAGTGAAAGCCTTGATATCCGAGTGGTCTAATCATTGGTCAAATCGAATTAGAAAAAAAAAAGTGTTAAAATGTCATTGAATTAAAATCATTTGACAAAATTAAAAATGAAACGAGTAAACACATGAACTCCAATTTAAAGAAATCATAACTAAGAGGTGTGTAACCGCTCAGACATAAACCGCCATCGTTAGAGATTGTATAAAGGTCTTCTGTGACGAAGAAAAAATATTTTACCTTTATAGAATACTTTTTTTAAATAACAGAAACTAGTTATTCAGTAAAGAGAGTGAGATTATTTTTCCCTCAGGCAGTTAGTTAATTTTCAAATCTGCTAAGTGATTTACTACACCGATACAAAATGTGATAAGAACTTGAGAATCCACTCAGGATTAAGGATGTGTGGTGTGAAAATCCCTTTGTAACTTACAGGGATCTGTATAAATTCTCTATAATTAAGTATATAAGCAACTAAAAGCTTGTAATGTACTTAATGCCACAGGGGCCAGTATGTATATTCTCGAAACTTGTGACTTTTTTCCATAGTAATTGCCGTTTTCTTATAATTTCAAAACACACATATTGATTAAAATTTTTAGGTTTCTTCAAATCTTCCACATAAGTTTAAGTAATCCAAATTTTACATTTCTGCAAAATTTATTTAAAAAGGGGTATATATACCAATCGTTAATTCGTGTATTAATGTATAGATTAACTATTACTATTTCCCATGCGATATTCACCTATCATATATGTCTTGTACTTGGCATTCGATCACATGTTGCACCGGTAATGTCTACGTGCCTAACACAGATGCTGTTACAATTTCTCTCATTCCCACGATATTTACACTTTTAATGATACTAGTGCATAACCTCGGGTCCACTAACCGGATTTATTTATTTATTTGATAATTAGTTTACCAGTAATTATTACACTAAAACATTCGTACAAAATAGAACATAGTATTAACCTTAATCAAACTGCACAATTTAAGTAGGCGAACACCACATGCATATAATCTCATATAGTTTAGAAAATTACTACCTATTGACAAAGGTTGTCGAAAAAGCGAGGAAACAAAAATGTTGCAAAGACAGTATGAGTTTACAAAACCTACAACAGTAGCCATGGTTTAACAGTAAAAGTGGTTTAACAGGTTTAACAGTACCCATCTCTAAATAGAACAGCAATTAGAACATGGCTAATCAACAGTAAGATTATGGACTTGGCTCTTAAATCGTTGAAATGTGCCAAAAATATCTATCTGTTATTCTGTAGTGATTGTATTTCTTGCTTAGCCGTCAAACGGGCGATGCCTTTTTCAATAAAAATAATAGTTTTCGTTCATTAGGAATATTATCCTCTGCCCCAGGACTTTTACAAACAACGCCATTAACGCGGCGGTAAGACCCGTTATGGAGGATTGGCTCGAGAGGCATCACGGGAACCTCTCGTACCGGTTGACGCAGGTGATCACCTGTTGTGTCTGATCCACCACTGTGATGGCCGGACCGTGGACACGGCGTTCCACACGCTGGCAGAATGCCCGGCGTGGGTGGAGCAGGTGCGTGACCTTGTGGCGCCTGGCGGCATTCGGGGTGGGATTTATCTCGCTCGGTAACATGATCGCGGCCATGGTACGGAGCGAGAGTGCATGGAACTCCGTCGTCTTCTTCTGTGAGCAAGTTATGCTTGCAAAAGAGATGGCGGAGCGGGATCGGGAAAGGTTTAGAACTCTCCCGGCCCGGGCACGGGCCAGGTACCGCAGGCGGCTCAGGCGCCGGTCGCAGAACGACCTCTGTCCTCCATAAGCGCAGGCCTGTGACTGACAGGTGACGCCATCTGTCACCCTAGCAGAAGCAGGCCGGGGGGGCGGCGAGACGCGCTGCCGAGTGCGCGCGCGCCTTTTGGGAGCACCAAGGGAACATGGGGGGTTCCACACAGGAGGGTTAGTACATGCCGTAGATGGCCCGAGGGATGTCGGGATACCAGGGATTTCCTTTCTAGGGTACACCGGGTTCCCCAGCAACTAGTACCCGAGACGGCGTGCGTTTTTTAGACGGTTCGAGTGCGACATAGCCACTGGGACTATTATAAACCTATTTTATATTTTCCCTATAAGCGTAGTATAGTGAATAAATACTGAATTTGTTAGTTAAATTATTACTCATATTATAATTGAGTTGGCAATATTTACAACAACGACGACGTAATTCTTTTCTAGAAGTTTAAACTTAAAGAAAATACTGATTTGACTTTACATATAACCCGTATTTACGGCGGACCAAATTTCATTAGCCATCAAATTTTAAAATACTGCGAGTGAGTCGACTCCATAAAATTATTCGTTAAGCTTTTCGTAAGCTTCACTTCATCGACTAATAAATATTTTTTACCACTGTACTTTAATTAATATGAAAATAGAAATGGATAGGCTATATGGCCACCATTTGACTTACTCCTGCAGTCTTCGCAGTTTCCCTTAGTGGGGCGTTTCATATTATTAAAATTGTAATGTAAATGTGTACCTACACACACTCATAGCAAGAGCTTTTCAAAAAGTCAGAGCTAGAATATCTACGAAGGGAAACTGTGATATAGGTACGTAATACATTAATAAATTGGCGAAATAGTTGTTCACTATACCACAAAGCTAATCGAAAGTTGAAGTAAATATAGTGAAAAAACTTATGAAGTTACGACTTTTGCAACAGACTGTTCTTTTTGTTTTGCTCTTGTCTTGCGCATTTGCAAGTAAAACACGGTTATCACAAGCCTATAGCAATACTTACTTTAAACAGATTAGCCACCAATGAACAGAAATGTCGGCGACATTGGAGAATAAAAAACAACATTTTGTTAAAATCATTTATTCCGTTTGTCAAGATAAATTATTTAATATTTTGAAGCCTATTTCAGGCATCATCTACAATTGCACTGGCAGTTTCGTATTTGGCAACCACTGAACCTTCAGTATTTCTCATTATTTTCCTTGCCGATAATCTCCAGCTAAAGTGTGGTCTGGAACTGGAATGGAGACCTTTGCTTTGATACAATTTCTCGTTGTAATATAATATTTACAGCGATAGTGACATCAATGAAGTATTTTAGCAATACATCCGTTTTCTTACGTAAAGTTTTATGTTCTTTTCAATTATTACTATTAATTTAATGCAGTAAAACGTCTCCTGCGCTTTCTGGCCTTTATGGTACTTAAAACGACACTTCCTTGAATCACATTTGAACTCGCGTTACATACCTTAATTCGCAAAACAGTCACTATCCTGCGTATAGCACCCAACCCTGCTATAAGCAAATATTTATTCCATTTGAGCGCTTTCCTAGGTCTCGCATAACGGGCCCATTAAATAATTAATAATTACACTATTCTTTAAAATTAGGACGTAACTTCTATACACACAACAACATTATTTTGTTAAACTATAACATCGATTCGTTACACTTGACATTTATACAAATATTCATCTAGAGTTCATATATTTATTAAAATATATATACAAGTTTTATAAATAAAATGATTTTCAAAGTTAAACTTTGTAAATCATAAACTATATTATTAGGCAAAAGCATTATTTTGTACAATTGGATTAAGAGCCGCAAATTCAGAGCTAGTGTAAACGGTAGAAGCGTTTGATTATAGTCATAAGGACTTTTGTGAAAAAGTGTAGAAGAAGTAAACAAAGAAAGTATATGTAGTATGTAGAACTGTTCACTCTTATTACAAAACTGTGGACTTATAACAGACTTACGTCGAGACCATCATGTTTTTCTGTAATAGTCTTCATTTAGTCCATGTTATGTAAAGAGTGTAAAGAAGTCGACCAAAACCTATTGCACGAAAAAATATACTACATGACAATGACATACCTACATGTAATAAAACTAGTAGAGGTATATAGTTTTCCACATTGCTGTATCTTTCTTAATTGTATAAAAATAAATGTTCTGAATTTGCTACTCATTAATATTAAATTTAAAAGTTTGGCGTATATTAATTGCACTAGAGGTGGGTAGATTGTTGTCGAATTATGCACGGTCTTAGGCGTGGTCGTGTATGGCTTCTGAAACAAGAGAACAAGAAATCGTAGAGCATAACAGTATAAAAGAATATAAAAAATAGAAGTCATTTGGCGATTTTTCGTGCATGGAAAAATTTAAAAGCCCTGAAATTAGAAACCTTGTTAAGATTGTGGAGTTAAATCTTAATATCATGTTTTTTTTACATTTACAATTACAGCAGGACCCTTGACTACTTTCGATTATGTGTGTAAAATTACATAATTATCAGTGTAGTAGTTGAGGTGTGGAACACTAATAAACAATTTTACGCAGTATAGTTGTAAATACAAGGGGAAAGGTTATAGAAGGTAAGAGTAATATTAAAAAGTGTGTAGTATTTTAGAGGGTAGTGGGGTTACCTCAGACGCGGGGTTGGCGGAGTCGGGGCTAGGCCTAGGGCGGCGGCGCCAGCGGCACCAGCAGCGGCTCGCGAGCGCGGCGCGGCCTGCGTCCGCTGGTGCGCGGGGCCCCCGCGGCCCTGAGGCGCGGCCGGCCCGGCCCTCGCCGCCCGCGCGCCACGCTCGCCTCGCCCGTGGGGGGCGACTCGATGCTCTCCAGCGGGGCGTCCGACTCCAGCAGGGCCGCGCCTGATGCACGACCAAAAATAGGTTTCGATTTTGAAATGCATCATATTTTAATTTATATTATATTCATTGTAAAATTATTTGACGTTATACGACGCCAGCGAACATATGACCGATGACACAAAGCCACCACTGACCGGCGGCGACGGCGCTGGCGTTGTCGGCGGGAGCAGGCTCGGGGCGGCGGCCCAGAGCGTGTCGCGAGCCGCGAGGCCGGCCGCGCCGCCCGCCGCGGTTGCCGCGCGACACGCCCCACGGCGAGTGGCGCACCGCTGGAGAAAACGCTGCAATACGAACACGTAGGGGGTTAAAAACAAAACAATCGTTCATTAAATTAATGAATGTTCAAAACGAATATAGTCTACTCCCCGTTTAATAACCTCTCCAACTTTTTGGAAGGAGTGGACTCCATTCATCAAAAGGGAGTCCACTCTGTCACCTGTGTTGATATGTCTTACTATAATTATGTGATTAACGTGTTGATAATCTCATTCTACTCAAATAGCACTTGATGTTGTTCTAGTATAAAAGAACAAACACATAATTGAATAAATTAATAAACTCACGTATGTTAGCAGGTATCTGCGGCGGTATGTCGACGACGAGGTTATCGTTGTCATCGTCCACCTGGAGCGGGCTGCCTGGCTCCGAGGCCGAGTCTCGCGCGCGCTTAGCCTCCACACTTGCCGGTTGTTGCTGAGAATGCGTTACCATATAATGCAGGGAGCCATGATTTCGTTTAATTTTAATTTCAAAGATACAACTATTCTGCTGTCGATTTTAATCCAATTATGTAAATAAAATCTCAATATTCAATAATCATTAGACTTTGAAAATAAAAGTAAACCGTTCTTAGTTATAATAACACATGAATTTTAGTAACATAAGCTCTGAAATTGTAATCTCCAACCCTAGCAATCACTAATATACGAATCAGCACTTCAAAATCATTTATTTATCTTTCTTTATAATTAAAATCAAGCATAAATAAAATTTAAACTTGGGTATGGATTCATCATTTCTCTGATGAAAATTATGCTATGAAAATGCCATCTCTATTGAAGATAATTCTAATTCATGAGGCAAGTTCTAATAATTTTCCTTATCAAAGTTGCAAAATTTTTCATAAATATAAGTGAATAATTAGTAACTTACGAGTCCAACTAATTTTTCCAAAATAATTTAGCCTCAAATGCACTATCTTAAGTGGTTTAATTTTGAGAGTAACTTTAGAATGTTGGTTGCAATGTTGTGATTGAACTATAGAATAAATTTATATTAAAATTCACTTTGTGAAGTAATACTTACAACAGGAGGCAAAAGTCCCATCTTCCTTTTCCGTTCTCTTTCCTCCATCTGTTTTTTCTCCTCCGACTTCTGTCGGTCTGTAATAAGAAGAAGAAGAATATTAATATTATAGGACATATAAAAAGAGTAGACAAATAGTAGCTTGTACTTTGGATAAACCTAAAAACCCTTTGTTTAAAAAAAACATCCAAATGAATGAAAACATACAAACATACAAATATTAGCACTGAATGGAACTCAAACCTTGATTAGACCACAGGACCGAGTAGTTCTTATTTATTAGTCAAATCAGTTTTATAATATAAACAACATATAAGATAATATACATACACTTCAGTTCAATTTCTTCATCATCCAAAAGTAATGACACTACTTCTTTGGGCTTCAAAGTGTCTGGTTTGAAGTTACCACCACTGATAACCATTCTTTGAATCTGGAAATAAACAACAATCAAAATTGTATGTCAATCATGTATACAATGTGCTATGTTGTGCTTGTTACTGTCGCAAAGAAGAAGACGGACCTTGTTAGTTTCAAAAACTTATATGTTGTTGATTTAAAATTAGGAACACTAGTAGGTTACTTTTGATAGCGTCGGGGCTTCGTTGTTGATTTACTGTGGAAATGACTTTGTGCCAAAGCATGGCTCTCCCACGTATAGAATATTTATAAAACCTAGTGCGAGAGTTAATATTAAAGGCAAATAAAAAGTGATACCTACCTCACTCTTTTCTCTAGCCCTCTGCATGATTCTCTCCTCAATAGTTCCTTTACATATTAGTCGGTACACGGTTACTTGTTTCGTCTGGCCGAGTCGGTGAGCTCTGTCCATGGCTTGCTGGTCAACGGTTGGATTCCAATCTGAGTCGTAAAAGATGACGGTATCGGCTGCTGTTAAGTTGATGCCGAGACCTCCTGCACGAGTTGAAAGGAGGAACACGAAGATGTCTGCACGCGCCTGTGTGTTTATAAAAATTGACATTAGTACACATTAATTGAAATAACGACAGAATTTTGATCCAGCTTCGAGAAGGAACTTTTTTTATGGATAGTAATTTACGGTGGTGAGTCTACTCTAAATAACCTTAATAACGAAAACACAGCCATCTTAAGTTAAAAGAAAAACAGCTGCTTCAACCCATGATGAAAGCGGGAAACTAAGCGAGTATCCCCATAACAACATGTACCCACCCCATAAATGTAAGTAAAATCATTTACAATAATTTTTTGTACCAAAAGTAAGAAATGCAGTAATACATACTTGGAAGTCTGCCACCATGTCTCGCCGAGCTGAAATCTTACTGGAACCATCTAACCGCATGTATTTGTGTTTCCGATGCCACATGTATTCCTGTCAAAACCGACATTATTTTTATTTAATGACCATGCAGTATAAAGTACAGTAACAATGGTATATCTTTTTCAAAAATTTTTCACTGAAAATACTCTGATACTAAGAGAAATATTATTTTATTATTAAATTTTCACAGATAGTAAGTATTCACAAAATTATTTTAATAATTTTTTTTAAAGTACCTACCTACCTAAGTAGTGGCCTAAGAAAAAAACAATTAAAAAGGCTAAAGTTATGTATCATGTTCAAGGGAGTAATTTTATATCTCCGAAAGCAGAACCATATAATAACAAACACCCAAGTTTTGCCAATTTTAAATTGTTTCCACATACGTCATGGGGGTATCCCTTTTCCTGAATAAATTGAAACTTTTGCAATATCAACACACCTCCAATAAATCAATCATCTTGGTCATTTGGCTGTAGATGAGCACTCTGTGGCCACGTTCTTTCAGTCTCCTGAGCAGAGAATCTAATGCTGTTAGTTTGCCCGCGTCGCTGACTAGTTGATTTTTATCTGTAAATATTATATTAAAATAATGATATGGCGTATATTGATCAGCGTATAGTTTATAATCGTTAACTAAATAAGATATCTAGGATAGTTATGCATAATTTTCCATTTTTCAAATTAGCAGAGAAATGTCCATAATATGGACAACTACAATTGGCAACACAAAAGCAATACTAATTGGCAAAATTGCTGAAAAAAATAATTATGATAATATAATAATTTATTTAACAAAATGGGTCACATGTATTCAGTACAATGGATGTCAATAGTAAATTTTCACCATTTTAACTAAATACTGCACTCTTATGTGTATGTGATGTTTCTTAGTTACAGTTCTAGAGCCCCGTTGGTATGTCGGTTGATGTTATTAGTGCGTGAGGTACATGCATAAGTCACTTATACCATCACTTGTTAATTTTTGTTTTCGAAAATCATCTTTCAAAATCATGATGATTTCGGAAATTTGAAGTGTTTCGGTAAATTATTATTGCACTTATATATTTCTTAAATATTTATCAAAAGTATTCCTCGGACAGGGGCCAGTCTCCAATTAGTAGAAAAACACTCACATACATAAAAATAAAGCTGTACGAGTTCGTACATATTTGAATGACTACACTCTTGTTACTACAACTACAGCACACTCTTATTTTACGTGAACATCACCTTAAACGTACAAAAACTTCCACTGCTTCAGCTATCTGATGCCACTGTACATAAGCAATATTCGAATAATAATTAAGAGACCTTATTTTGTGGGTTGTAGAATAAATTTAGATGTAGATATAAAAAAAGCGATCATTAGAGTAGTGACGCGTGCGGTGGTCGTGGGGTACGTACCTGGCACCTGCAGCGAGGCCCAGCCGGCGGGCGGGCGCGCGGCGGCCACGAGGCGCCACACGCAGCGCCAGCCGGCCGCGCTCTCGCAGTGCGCGTGGCGCGTGGCGTGGTACGAGTGGCGCCGGGACGACGCGAACACGCCGCGCGTCGCGCTACACACCTGGAAACGTTCACACCGCCTTCAACTCCTCGTAGGGGCCGCGCCCGACCTACACACTCGTTTGTCATTCATTACCACCTACTTTGTAAATCATTTACAGCCACTTAAATGCAAAACCTAGTTCCTCGTCCATTGTCACCGATTTACTTTATGTGTCAAATTGATTGTTTAAAATCACATCCACAAAGGTAAGTGTACACCTTATGAAATACAGACCAGTCAGACTACATCATTCCCTTGTGAGAGACTGGCGTCTGTCGTAGGTACGATAGGTACAATACTTAAAATACTAGAATTATCACTTAATATCTATAGGAATATGGTATAATGTAAAATTGTAATATTATACTTGTGCATAAAGTAAACTTTTGATTTTCTATTCGTAAGCGGATCATTGACCGATTTAAACTTGAAATTGCCGACACTTTAAAAACTGAACCGATGCAATAGCTTCACTAGTTATAACACTTACAATATTTTTATAGAAATAACAAAACAAATTACAAAAACCAGGGCCCGGATATTTGCTTAAATATATATCCAAGCATGAATGTATGCACTGCATACCCAACAAGATAATCGTCAAAGGCAAACACTATACTAATATGAAACATGTGCTATCAGATTTTGACAGGAATTTACTTACTACACGTGTCTTATCTTACCTTTTGCTGAACAGTAAACAAGAAAGCAGGCAGTGTAGTAGGCATTTCCAGGTACACTACAGGTGGTCGTTCGACGAACGGCACGTCTGGGATTTCCATCGGCTGCACCGATATCACACCACCTTCTTCTGTCTTAATTTCACTGAGCATTTCTGTCTGAGAAAAACAACAAATCACATTCATAAATTTAGAAAATACAATCCTCAACTTACAACATAAAACATTTGTTGTTTTAAACAGTGGCACTTTTAATTTGTGTCTAATACACACCTGTGCTAAGTTAAGTACAAATGTATTTGGTGCAGTTTTATTTATAATTATTTCAAAAAAAATCTAAAATCCGCTATTTTGTATAGTCAACGAAAGCCAGAACCAACAATAAAGCAACATAAATTCAATTATTTTATTTCGTAAAATTAATTACCTAGAAATTATTTGAAACTGCATTTTGTTTATTTTTATATAAGTAAAATTATAGATGAACACATGCAAAGTCACAACAGCAGGTACTTTTGTTAATACAAATTTAATTAAACAAAAAAAATAGGAAACATAATACTGTCTCTGTCTGTGTCAATATGGTTATAGCAAACAGTTGGGCCTTGGGGGACCTGAGCAAATAAATTCTCACATTATAAATAATGAAATAAGTTTATTTACCTGGCCATCTTTTTCCCTCTGATTCCTGACTCGCATTGCTTTATGTTCTATAGTTTCCGGTATATAGTGTATCGTATAATCAGTGTGAGTGTAGAAGGGACCTCCTGTGGAAACAATATCAATGATTAAGGGTTTAATTAGAAACATGATCTAGGAAAAAAAATTGGACAGATAACCAAATCTATCTTATAGTAATCCTCTAAACCATAATAACTAGCAAAGTTGAAATTATAACACAAGCATTAGTTTATAGCTAAAAAAATACATTGTGAATAAGGCATGACCTGTCTCGAAATGTTCATATATCGTCACAAGTTGTTCAAAAGAAATTAAGGCCTGACTTCTCGCCAAACATAGCCATTTGGCCAAGTGTAAATCTGTTGATGTGCCCATTATTTTACCGAAACAGTTTATTTGTAACAAGCCACTACGTTAGATAAAAAGTGTGTTACCTTGGACCCACAAAGGGTCAGTGAACAGCATATCACTCCACATCAAACTATCCTCTTTCCTCTTTTTAAATGTGTCGCCATCTGGGCATATCAGCAACATGTCTTTGCTTCTCACTCGATCATAGTACTCGGGACATACGTCGATCTCTGTCTCCTCCTGTTTTACTTCACCTTGTTGGAAGTTACTCCACCAATATTGACGATGGCGCAGTTTCTCATATGTCTCAAGACAATACTCTATGTGTTGCATACTGAAATTTAAATAAATCTTAAAAGATGGGTGGTTTGTTTGTAATCTAAAAGTATGAATTTAAGATTTACACACTATTTTGCAGTATCTACATGCACCAAAAACACAAGAACAGTAGCTAGAAGGATAACGGAAATATTAATTAACTGTATATCCGTAACACAAAGTTCAAGGCACAGTTTTAACTTATTTGAGATTAAATAAAGGTATTTACTTACGCATACAACCATCCACACAGCATAACCCTATACAACTCCATGGGGGATATATTTACAAATCTCATAAAAGCAAACAATCCATTATCAAATCCCATTTGTTCTCCGTTTTCACTCCTTATCACCAATTCTTCACCGTTTATACTCCTTTGTATATATTCCGGTGAGAGAATAGACATGATATTGTAAACTATGTGACGTTTCGAAGGTATTGATCGGATCAATATGCCTTCTTCAGCTACGAGTTTTGGTATGTGATAGTCGTCTACTTGCATAGCGAATGGAGACTTGACGTCACGGCGTTCAAAAAGCTCTGGGTGATTGCAGACCTGAAGTCACAATCGGTTTGTCAGAATTAGTTTCATTCTACATACTTAATTTCACTATAAATTCTATAAGTAACCATAATATATAGTCTTCATAAAATAAATGCATTTCGACTTATACAAGTACATGTACGAAACTCTTGAATGTGAAAAAAAGTAGTTCTTACCTTTCTAAATTGCATAACTAAATTCATAAGATTAGACGTGAAATTCTTGTCAACATTGTGACCTGATTCTGCTCCAACTGAATAATGCAGTAATTCCTCTATTTTGATCTTCTTTTTTAAAGCTATATACAATAACTTCTGCCGGATAGTAAGCGGACAATGGACCATGATTTCGATTTTATCAGAGAGCTCATTTTCTACATCCTTCTTAATTCGTCGTAACATAAATGGTTTTAGAATCATGTGTAAACGGGACAGATGTTCTGTAATAACAAAAAACATTTAAATGCCTTACTAAACTTTAAAATATTATAAACATATAAGTAAACTGTATTCCTAATTATGTCTTTTTTTCACCTTTCGTGATGGTACTCTTTATTCAAATTTGAACAGGAACAAACAGAAAGTATACCTTAAGAAATAAAATTTTTTTTAAATCAGTTTATAGTTGACAGAACTATGAAGTAACAAATAAAAAATAAAACAATGGAATTGAAAACCTGCTTTTTTACAGTAAAAAACACAGTGCAGTCTAAGTGAAAAACTTACTCTCATCAATGGTGCTCTTGTTTTCCGCATGGCTCTCTATGTCTTTAGAGAACCATTCATTGAACTCCTCGTGAGAATCGAATAATGTCGGCATTATAAAGTGCAATAAAGCCCATAACTCCGCCATACTATTTTGGATTGGTGTACCTATAAATAAAATCATTTTTAGAACGACTGGTTAGTATTATTCACTGTTTGTAAAGAAATATTGTGCTTCATTATTTTACTTTGATAAATTTATGCTGAATAACAATAAAAATTACTTGATTGACAAGAAATTAATTACTTTTAATATATATATGTCAAAAAGATGCGTTCGGTAAAAACTTTTAAGTAATAGGACACATTCATACCAGAAAGCAATAACCGATTTCTGCAGCTAAAACCTAGTAGCAGCTTCCACCTCATGCTGGCGGAACTCTTAATCGCTTGAGCTTCATCCAATATCATGTACTGCCAAGATACCCTGTTCAAGTACTTCAAGTCTGATACAACTATCTGATAGGACGTCACCACCACGTGAAATGCTGCCTGCCGAGTGTGAAGATCTTTGCGTTCCCAGAATTGTCGGAGGATTTTGCGTTCGGATGGACTGCCCCAGTATGGCACCTGGAAAAACAACTAGTATAACACTCGGTATATTTCAGCTTAGTTCTCTAGTTTTGTATAAATACTTTACTTTTTTGAGTTTGCTGCTATTAAACTAAAAAAAAATAGATCATTTACTGCACTCTTTTTCGTATCTGGCAGTCGATACGAGGCGGTGCGACGTTCATCACGTGGTTTTATATGTTGCTTAGCCTTGTTAAGCTTTAGCTTAGTTTTTAACTTCTAGCACTATTATATGAGTCGACAAATTATAGCATTTTAAAGTTCGAATTGTCCTAAAGAAAAACATTGCAACTTCTCCTTGGTGATAAAAACAATTGAATATTTTTAGTGTGTATATTAAAAAAATATATTTGGAGATTTGATTTTAACTTAATGTCGAAGAAATTAATTTATCACGATTGAAACGTTTTGGAGTACTTTATTACTTTAGTTAAACGTGTTTATTGTCTTGTAACGACTATACTTATTCTACAGATACTTACCACTTTGAAATCTGGAACAAATCTTTGCATTTCCTGCTGCCAATTATGTAAAGTAGACGCCGGAGAGACAACTAGGAACGGTCCCCATACTCCTAACCTTTCTGCTACATGGCACAGGAAAGCTATGCATTGTACTGTTTTTCCTAAACCCATTTCGTCTGCTAGAATTCCGCTAATACCCTGAGGAAAAAAACTACATACATATAATAGACATATTTACAAAGTTATATGGATTCAATTCGAGTTACTTATTTTAAGAAGATAGGTTAAGGGGAAGGGTTAGAAGAAGGGGAGTACTGGAGCAATGAAGACATAGGCCGAGCATAGAAGCGCAGTCGCACCTGATCGTAGAGGTTGGCGAGCCAGTTCATGCCCTTGAGCTGGTAGCCCTTGAGCGTGCCGCGGAAGATGGCGGGCTGGTCGTGGTCGCCGCGGCGCTCGTCGGCGGGCGCGTCGGGCTCCGAGCCGTCCGCCGCCGCGCCCGCCGCCGCGTCGAACAGCGACGCGCGTGCCCGCTCCGCGCGGAACGCCTCGCGCGCGTTGCGTGACGCGCGAGCCTTCATCGCCTCGCTGCAACCGTACCGTACAGATCCTCACCGACATTTTCAAATACAAAAATATTTTTTAAACTTTCAGACCTTAAACGATTGACTACTCATCATAAAATTGTGGTTACAGAAGTCCAGGCTACGAAATAGGACACTCTTTTATCCAAACGAGCCTCATGCATGAGCGACGATGATGGACGATCTTTACTAACGCGAACGATACCGAAAGGAGATAAATCATTTTAATACTTACTATACACCCTCTCTACACTACACCTACCGACATTTTAAAGACTTACAAAATAACTTACTTATAGATACTGGTTCCTGCTAAGTGAAAATATTTATTTGCATGATTAATCTATTTATGTAATATCTATCTAATCTTTAGTATGAGTGTTTGTACATTTATCATATACAACATATTTATTGACAACAATACTTAAGTATTTTTATCTATGTTCTTTACTTTATTATTAAATTATATTTATAAAATACTGTACAATATTGTCAAATAAAATAATGTAGTATTTATGTAACTTACTGACCTATCATAATGGTCTATGGCAGCAAGCCTAGGATCTCTGTCTTCATCCAACTGCCTCAGGATACTATCTGCGCCATATTCACAATCATCTGCAGCATTCATCTTTCGTTGCATAAAGTGGGCGTACAGTTCCGTTTGTGTAATCAAGAAATTCAATTTACGACGCTGCCGTTTTGCTTCCATTAGTTCTACATCCATCTATTGAAGAAAATATCTTTTAGATCTTTGTCCAGCAGTAACGATTATTCTTTTATTTTTATATTAAATAATTTTATATATATAAATGTTATGTTGGTTAGTGTACGCTTTAAAAATTCAAAAAGTACTGGACCAATTGAGCTCAAATTTTGAGCTCAATATGCAACACGGGTCAAAGATTTTTATTTTTTATCTATTTTTATAAACCACAATGTACCGCAGCAAAGTGTGTCAGGTTACCGCTAGTTAGTTTATAAAATACTTGAAATAGACTCAAGAGAAGTTGTAATGTATATAGTTTTCTATAAAATTTATCATAGATACACATTCTCTTATAACATAGCGTCACATAGTGACAACCGCTAAATACATATTTACGGGCATACATTTATTAAGTCACCCTAAAAATAAAAGAGATTATAATATATTATCATTTACGTTTTTAAAGGAACTTCAATGCTCCTACAGTTTAGCTTACCACAATTAAGTATATTAGATTTCAGACACATGTTCAAATTATCATTTTTGTAGTCATTATAAACATTAAAAATAGGCAATCATAAAAAGCGCGCACGCAAGCAATTTGATACGTGCATACACCTGATTTTGAAGTTAGTGCCGATCAAACTTCTGTGGTATAATATATGTATAAGTTTTTAGTACAAATATCAAATCTATACCTTTCTCTGTTCTTCAGCCTCCCTTTCCATCCGGCGTCTCGTTTCTCTTTCAGCTCGATCGTATCTCCTCCAATACGCTTGCATCTCTCGACTAAGACGCTTACAGCGCCAGACAGTTTCCTTCATATTTTTCTGGGACTGTTAAGTATATAAATAAAGGAGATAACTACAAAGCAATTCTACTGAAAATTCATTAAAATTAAATTATATATTACTTTGTTGATTGAGAGACATGTAGTTTAAACTAATCATATCAATTATTATATTTAGTAAGTGGGTACAATTATAAAGTAAAGTACTAGCTAACCGGCGCAATTCGTCTACGTTTCTCAAAAGGAATAAATTTTTGCAAACTTTTTCATTGATGCTTTGCTCCATTTTGTTGTAGCGTGATGTTATATAGCCTATACCCTTTCTCGATAAATAGGCTACCTAACACTAAAATAATTTTTCAATTCGAAAAAGTAGTTCCTGAGATTAGTGCATTCAACCAAACAAACTATTCGGCTTAATAACATTAAGTATAGATAGTATAGGTTACAGAAAATAAATAGCTATAGATATATTTCGGTAAAGGAGGACATAGTAAAAGTACCTGCATGGCTATATGTCGCCAATGTTTACAACACAATGTAGCGAGACGTTTCCTCTGCAGCATCACTTCTCTATGTGTAGCAGTTCTGGCTCTTTGCACCTTGCCAAGTTCTTTTTTCACTAACAGTAACCAATGGCGACGTCTTCTAGCCGTCAGGGCTTCCGGGCTTTTCAATGTTGAAAGTTTCTTGCGACCCCTAGTGAGAAAAATGTAATATTATTTTAAACTAAACCAAATGTTCTATATTTTAGAATATAATGTTGAGCAAAAGATTAGTTAAATCAATATCTTCACTTTTAATTAGCAAAAACTTTTTTCTATTGGATGGTTCTAAATTGGAAGCTTTTTGTGACTCACCTGACTCCAGTCTTTTCAGTGGATATGCCATACTCGTCATTTTCGTTCTCCTCCTTAAGATTACGAAGCTGTTCCTCCCAATCCACACCATCAGGCTAGGTTAAACAAAAATATAATCAATATCTATCTCAAGGTAACACTTATAACACTGGCGGCAATGTAGAACCACATAACAATACTAACATGAGAAAAAGAAATTGAATTAATTTTAAATAAATGTGGAGACTTTATATTTTAATGTTGAACTAACCAGATCATTCCCATCATTGCCACGTGAATCTCTGATTCTTCCCCTCCGGGCTTTGTTCATACCCCGTGCAGAACCTCTCTCTGAGGGCCTGCCACGACGTCCTCTGGTTGATGGTGGAGGCGGTACTGGTCGACTAATTCGACGTTCAGGATATCGGTCAACGGTAGATAGAAGACCAGCTCCATAGTACATGTAACGGGAATTCTGTAAAGTTTGTAAAATTTTGTGATAGGTAGTAATATTAGAGAGAGATTTACAATAGACTGCAAGTGTTGTTTTTCTATTGGTGGTATAAGTTGCGAGACAAATTTGTACTGCTTACATGTATGAATAAGTCTTCAAACTTTTACTGATACTACTTTTTTAAATTACGTAACTAAATTATTATAATTAAAAAAAAATTATTAAACATTCTATATAAAGCAACATATTCACTCAGAACATTTTTCACAGTTTTAATTGATTGTATACATATCTCGGTTTATTGCTTCTTTTAATAAGAGTAGTGAACACACAAGAATTTTTGCTTAAGTGTCTTGTGAGACTGATAAAACCCTATTAAAGTTTTTTGAAGTCATTTAATTTTTGAGATTTGTGTCTAAAATTCTTGATTTGCATAGCTGTTGGTTTTCCAAAACAATATGATTAATATCTACCTCATACCTTTAAATGAGCAATTCTTGTATATTGATATGTATTTAGATTTGTATATATATTTAATCTGAATATGGGCAATAGTTTGGCCTACATTTGTGACAAACTAAACATCAAATGTTCAGATCGAGTAAGACACACCAATAAACTTAGATGAGCAAAAGTATCTGGAATTGAAGCATACTTGATGCAGCGTTAGCATATTTTTGTCTGCACTCCAGAACAGAAAACGCAAACAAGATGGTCAGTTCCTACATTATAAGGATGTCCAGAAATGACATATAAAGCAATGCAACATCAAACCAACAACATGGGAGAACCAAGCAAATTGTCAACCTGAATAGAGGCACTTGGTATGGCAAAAAGTAGTTGCTCTTAAAGAGCAGCACAATACCAAGCTAAATTGCCATAACGGCTAGACAAGCAACTGCCATATTCCATAATTATTTGCCATATTTTATATTGTTCGCATACATTATAACATAGTTGGCTACCGAAGTCACCTAAAGGCATATGACAGGGTTATCATCCTAGCCTTCCAATAAACAGACTGCAGTCACAGTAACCAAAATCGACAAGGGGCGATGGGCATTTATTGACATGTTTGGCATATTTTCTTCACATATCATAATAATTTTAAATATGGAGCTACAGAAAACATAAAATAAGTGTAATTTTTTTATTTACTTTCCATAGTTTAAAATTTCTTTGTCCCACAGTAAACATCACAGCTAAAAATATTTTATTCCTGAATTATTTTAAGGTCTAGTTGGGGTCACTTGAGTTTATAAGCAGATTTAATGTCATTAGTATTCTCTACCATTCTAATAAAAAGTTCTTCAAAAACATATAAAACCTCAAATTTAAAAACAACTTATTTAGATCTTTATACTTACTCCTTGATCTTTATAATATTTCTTGGCATATCTATTATGATATCTTCTTTCTTTGAGCATTCTCTGTATTCTTAACTCTTTACCAAGAGGAGATTCTTCATCGCTAGATGTATCAGACTCAGATGATAGTAAAACATCTCTCAACCATTCTCTTTCTTCTCCCACTGAACTGAAGTTGTATAATCTAAGACGGTCACTCTGACGTTCTGAAATAATATGATTTGTTGATTTAATCATTTAAATCAATTAATATTTTTGTACTATGATTAAATTATTATTACCTACTTAAAAATTACAACTAATTAACTATCTCAGAATTCTTATTAATAAAACCGTAAATTAAATATATGTAGAAATACAGACAATATAATTTACATAACATAAAATTATGAAAAATGTTTTAATTTATAGAAGATTATAACCAGCTTAACTACAGTAGGAATTGCTATTGGCAAATAGACCTATTAAAGTTGTTGAAAAATTATGAGTTACATACTACAGGCTATTGTAACTGCCCAAGTCATATACTGGCAAATTCGTTTTCAGGTAGCATTATTAAACTCTTGAACACTAAAGGGCAGCTAGTTTACCTTTGACATTAACAAAATATATATCTTTATGTAGAGTTCAAAGGATAGTTTAATACAAAAGTATACCTTGTTTTGTAGTGACAACTCCATGCAACATTCGGTCCCCTTTGGACATCTCATTAACAATAGATTTAGCGTCCGAGTCATCATCACTTTCCGAGGCAACATCAGAGTTCAGAATCTTCTCTACTTGACTCACAAACGGGCGCACATCTAATGCGGCCTCCAGTCTTTGAATATGTACCGGCCTGGCCACCTCATGTCGCTTTAGCACCGTTTTTCCCACCAACTTCTCTGACATTATATCAAGACCTGGATATGAATTATGATTTTAAAGTACTGAACGAGCGAAGAATGAACGTGCAAATAAGGTCAAATCGTATTTTTTTTCCAATGAAAAGAAACAAAACAATAACGATTCCACGATAATAGCAACTGCATCAAAGCAATCACACAAGAATCGTGAATATTTTGAATATCACTTATCAGGGAAGGCAGTCTGCGGAAAGTGGAACTTACACAAATTTTGAATTCCTTGCGGTGATTACTTAATACAAAATTCCATAGTATCCACAAAATGGCGTACGAGAATATTCGACAAATCGCTGTCAATGTCGCCGCCCGAGCGGCGCAAATAACTACTCATTTCGTATTTGAGCTTGAAAAAACACGAAACCGCCATAATTGAAGAAAATGGACAACCAACCGTTTGACTTTTCCGACCAGCTATTGGTCCAACAGAACCTTAATCGTGTTTTACCCAATAGTCACATTTCCATAAACAGTTCCTGCCAATCAAAATGTCATAATTTTGTCAAATGTAGAAGTGACAAAGAAGAACAAAGTCAGCTGTCACAAGTAGCTGCGTTCAGGCAAGTTTTAGAAAAAAAAAAAAAAATTTAGACATAAAATTTACAAAATAATTTTTTTCCTCAATTTGAACGATTTCAAGTAATAAGTTGCAAAGCAATAAGTTCCATAATTAATACGTAAAATTTGTGGGGCCTGTACATTTATTATTTTGGTGATGTACCGGATATCCGTCTCCAGTTCTTAGACGGATCTTTTTATTTAAATTAGTGTATAATGATATTCATTAATTTGTATATTTCTTTCCTTCACATTAAATGTGTATACTAACAGAGAAAACATTTTCCAGTTACAGGCTATTTTCTATCTTTTCACCCATTCAGAAATCAACTCAGAAACAATTTAATAAGGAACTGTTTCCGTATTCAGGTCACCAGGGTCAGTTACGGGTATGCTACAGGCTTTCTATCGGCTTAGGAACTTCCTTTCTTCCGAGACAAAAGAGATGCTAGTACAGACCCTCATTGTCCCTATCTTGGATTATGGTGATGTATGCAAAGACGCATGTATGCATATTTTAAAAACCAGGTTTTGTTCTATTTATATTCTGAAACCTTGTACTTGATTGTCATTTTATTTTTACACCAGTAATAATCATGAAATTTATCAAAAAAAAAATATGGAAATTTTAAGCATTACCATTAGGTACTAATTTTTTTGCCTAATCGTCTCCCAATTTTATTTGGGGTCGGTTTAGTAAGTATGATTCTTCCATTCTACTCTATCATTCGTCATCTCACTGTGTACTCCCTTCTAAACCATATCCTCACTCACACAGTCCATCCACCTTTTTTTTGGTCTTCCTTTTCTCTTGTACCCTTCAACTCCCAAACTTAAAACTTTCTTCGCCATATTTTAATCAATCTTCAGCAAAAAAAAATGTAAATGTATTAAAATAGTTAAAGTATATTTTAGCAAGGAATTCCTCTACACCGATTTCATTTATTTGTTATTTCCAAATAAAAAAAAGTAAAAGTTAGCCAATTTCCAATGTTTGATGAATATATTTGTGATGTTTGTCATACCTCAACATTATTGTAGTGAAACGTGATTAATTTGATTTCCTCTTACACATTATGGATACGCGATTGCCTACTTGAATTGGTTGAGTCCCTTTAGGTGGCCAGGTTTAACATCAGACATCGCGTTTTATGCTTTTTTGCTGTTTACTGGTGTGTCAGAGGAATATCAGACAGAATATGCATTTTGAGTTGCTTACTTTTGCTGGTCTTGTTTAGGGGTCACAAGGGCAGGGTTATACCTGTCAGGATAGTTAAGGATTCAAAAAAAAAGTTGGCTGTGGTTTCCCACTACCTAATATTTATTTCCATTATCTAATACATAAACCATATCTTATACACTATGTAGCTTGAGAATACAACAAAGAAAACCTAAGGTCCGTAACGACCTCTCTGAACAATAAACAAAAAAAAAATTGAAAGAGAAATTGGTGTCAAGAGTTAAAGTATTATAATTAGCACTTAAATATCTATTTACTATGCTTAAGACGGTACGTGGTGGAGCTTGGTCGAATCAAATGTAGTACCTTGGTATTACTTATATTAAAACACAAAAGAAAATGGAACTTCGGATACCGGGTGGCCACAGCCTAGAGGAGCTGATGAACACTGGTATTAGGTGATCCGGTACCTTCAATGTCGTTTATCCGGCGGGGCAGACCATAGGTGAGGCACCGCCTCAGCGTTTCCTGAGTAAGGGCCCTGGTTTCCAGGCGTCCTCAGCCGGAAGCAATTTGTAGAGGGTAAGGTTGGTAGAGGTAGCAGCAGCCAGTACAAATAGGTAGGTAATCAGATTTAAATGGTAAGGGTAATGTATCAAATCAGGAGGTTATCATTATCCAGCGGGTGACCATCGGAGGAAGTTTTTATTTAATTATATTTAAGTAGCGGGTTAGAGTAGGGGATGAAAAAGAAAAAAAAACGTGAAACGGTATGTGGGAGCACTACACAAGAGGGAAGAGAGAGAAAAAAAAAAGCCTTTCGGGTTTTTCCTGGTGATATCTGGTATCTAGGGCGGGTGACGCCTCAGCATCCGAGCCGATGCATTTCTGGAGGTCCTCCCCAGATCATCGGGACCGAACGTCCACTGTATCCACTCTTCGAAAAAGAAAATAAAGCTCCTCGCCATTTTCGCGCCGGCAAGAGTTCATCTGACATATCTCATAGGGTTGGAGTGAACGGTGTGATCCGTCGATTAAATCGATTATTGACATCGATTAATCGATTTACCCGTATTTATACACGAAATCGCATTCGATAAAATATCATATATGAAATGGAATCGTCCTTTTAAAAATACGACGTTAGAGTATTTATGAAAAGTTATCTTTTACATTGATTATTATTTTCAAACCGATAATTCCCGGTTAATGTCATGAAAAAGCAATAACAGCATCACTGAAGTCATAAAGTGAGAATGGAAGCGTCACCTGCTGCCAACATAACTTTAAGTCAAAAGACGAAAAGACTTTTTAATTTTTAATCCTTTTATTAAGTAAATTAATTTAGCGGTAGTTATCATTTATAAATAAAAAAACAACATTTTTTCCATTATTTTTCTTTAACAAAATCGGATAGGGAAATGTTGACACATAAATTAGACGTTTGTGCGATAGATAAATGCATTTCCGCCACAATTTGGCAGAGAATGAAAGTTGATTCCAAAATGGTGGCCGTTTGTTGTGCTTTTATGTGATTTGTGAAATAATTTGTTTTAAGTAAGTCAAGATGTCGTTTTTAAATATGTAATAACTCTTTAAATTAAATTATGTGCATATTAAAAGTGACTCTTACCGTGCCTGTAAAATGGTGTCGTAGTGACATTTTTCAATGCTTACAAAGGAACTCGCAAGACAGCCTTGTTGAAGTAATATCAATTAATTTCGCCTCTAAGATTTTCAAGCCGCACTGTATTTTATGAATTATATGTGTTGCTGTTTGTGCTACGTAATTAATTAAACTATGTAATTTTATTGTTTTAATAAGATAACTTAACATTTTACAAGTTCAATTATAAATAAGCGCGGGACGTGTGCCTTTGCGCTATGATTGGCGTCATAAACGATGTACTACAGTTTTATCGCTAATGTCTATCCTAAAACCTTATTGTCCATTCTGTCAGTGCATTTTACGTCCATTTTTTAGCCAAATCTGTTTGATTTGTTTATTTTCTGTAAGAAGATGCCTACCCAATAGCATCCTAACCTATAAAACTAATTCTGCCGGGTGCGGCTATCTTTTACCTTATAAAAACTAGTATTGTTTTATTTTATCAACAATGTGATTGTGTGAATATGTTCCAGATTCCAGATGTATATTAACTGTTGAATTATTATTTTTACCTGGACTGCCGGAACTATGGATGAGACAGAAAGTTCACCAGAGAAAGCAAGTGAAGTCTTGGATAAAGCAGGCGAGGTCTCGGTGACTGGTGATTCTAATATAGTGACTAGTGAACTGTGTGATCCTAAAGCTGATAGTTGTATGGAAAAAAGTGATGTAGAAAGCAAAGATACAGCAAGTGAATTACAGAATCATTTTGAGCATGATCCAAGTGCTGGAGATACTAAAAGTGTGAAAAGTGATGTCAGTAATACAAAAGATGAAGACTCCATACTTGATGCTACAGGAGAAGAAGCAGGTATGTCTAAAAGAAAACAGTATAGTTTATAATTTTCTCAAAAACATTAATTGCAGTATTATTGTTGTTAATTTACTGTTAAAATGTGATTACTTGAACCGTGACATTAAGTTTTACATTTATTCTTCATCATTAAACATAAGTTTTTGGGCAACCTTGTTAATGCTTCTTTGGCTCAGCCATTTACCAAAAGCCTCTGACTATTTGGTTGCAAACATTTGCATAATCACAATACACAATACAACAGGGTGTAAAGATATCCCAGTTAGAGAATATAAAATTGTATAGGAATGTATGTTTTGTACTATAGTACTTAAAGCCAACTACAAATAATTGAATTACTTTCTGTTAGATGTTTTTTTGCAATAATTTTATATTTATTTAGCTTGCACTTAAAACACATAAACTTCTTATTGTCAAAATAGTCACAAGATGATTTGAACATATGCAAGCTAAGGATTTAGTAAGTGATACAATTGGTCATTATTTGATATTTAAATCAATAAAACTGAGAGCTTTTTGACAGTTGAGATTTATTTACATAACATAGCTTAGATTTACCTTATCTCGGCTTAATAATTATAAAAGTCAAAAGATGTTTTAAATCATACCATACTTCTTAGTTCAATGCATTATCAAAGAATAATGGCTCTGCCCACTAAGATCTCTTGCCTTAATCATCTGGGGCATTTATTTGGATTTTTTGTCCACACCAACACCCTAGGGGATCTGTATGGATTTTTTATCCATTTTGATCCCAAGGGGATTTATTTTTTTGTAAATTTTTGTAAATGTAAATGGAAGTTTTTGTAAACACAAAATGAACCTTAAATCCCCTGGGGGATTTATTTGGATTTTTGGTTGGCGGCGATCCCATTATTTAGTGTGATCCCCTGGTGGATTTATATGGACACAACATTTATTCTTAGTAGTATAGTTATCCCCCAGTCCATTTAGTTCCAACTACTTGAAATTTAAGTTCAACTAAACGAAAAAGAGGTAATTAGCTATCTTTATATAAATTTCAATTGCTGAAATATAGGTGCGTCCGCGCATGTTTATTTAAAATCGAATTTTAATTATGAATATTTACGGGATGTGTGTTTACAAAAACATCTTAATTAATCCCCTTGGGGATCAAATGGATAAAAATGCCAAACAGATCCCCTAGGGTATCAATGTGGACAAAAATCCAAATAAATCCCCCAGGGGATCAAAGCAGCAGATCCTAGTGGAGCCAGAAGAATATAGTATGCATAAAAAATAAATATTTTTTTAAGGTTTTTTTGAAGGTTTATCCCTTTATCATTTGCCATTACTCTTTATATTAGACTGAAATTATCCAAAATTTCTAACAACTATATGACTAGCTATTAGTAGGTAAGTTAAACTTTCTAAAGTTAACTAAGCTTAAAATAAACTCACTGTTATGAAAATGAAAGTAATAGAGAATTTTTCAATTTGATGCATATTTTAAAGAAATAAATGGAAATAATATTATTTCAGTTTACAATCAACTTACTGTACAAGGTTTACACACTGTACAATACTTAATTTATTACATATTAATATTCTTGATAGAATGGTTGCTACAAATATAACTGATTCCTATTTTTTCTTCAGCTGACAGTGAATCAGAAGATAATGAATCCAAAAGTAAAAAACAAAGTTCCCAAGATATTTTCAGTCGGGAATCAACAAGCCTTGCACCTAGTGATGAACTTAGTCAAGAAGGTACAAGTCAAGAAACTATTAGTCTAGAAACGAATAGTGAGAAACTCGAAGAGGAAAGCCAAACAACTAATGATGACAATTGTATAGATAAAAATGAGAATTTTGATGATGACAAAAAAGAAAATGATGAAATTGGCAAACCTGAATTTGAGACAGCCCCTAATGTATCTGTTGATGAACCAGAAGACCACACACAGGTATACAACGTTTTAATTTGACAGCCCTTTTTTGGATTATGTAGAAATTTACGAGTTGCTTGACTTACCATATTACTTCATAGCAGTGTTCCCAATTATTGGTGGTAACTGGTTATTTAGTACCAGAGTATCTATTTGAAAGAATATTAAACCCATTTGGTGTAAAAATTGATAAAATTACATGTCTTGTTTTTGCCATTGGAATAAAACACACTTGGAAATTACCAACATTTTAGTTGTTATATTTATTTTCAGGCTCTCGATCCATTTGATGCTCTATTGAAAGATGGAAATGAACCCAGTCAAAGTGGAGAATCATCAGAAAAACCGACCATAGCTGCTACAGTAAATATTGATGACGATGATGATGACCATAATGCTGATGGTGATGTAACACATGATGATGAAGAAGAACATCACACAGGTATGACTTTATAAGTTAAACTAGATGTCTCCAGAAGGTTGAAAATCAACCAAATTTCATTAAAATAATACATAAATTTAAATCTGTGCATGCAGAAACTACCAAATACTTTGAAGAATTTATCTTAATTTGTAGATGAAGCTGGAGTTACAGAGCTGGTGGATGAACCAGGCGGCGATGAGGAGCTATGCTTACTGCCTGACACAGAAAGAGAAATATCAGAAGCTGACAAAGCTGAGGCAGAGAAGGTCTTGGCTGAGAAGAGAAAGCAAGCTGAAGAAGGTAATATTAGTATTAGGTATTGTAAGCATATGTATATGTACATTAGTTAAGCAAAAATAAAATATTTTTTAATAAGTGGTTTAAGTAATAATAAGTAAGTAATTAATAATTTGAACCATTCCTTGACATTGTTCAATCGTCATTGATTGTGAAGCTTAATAACACAGATAAAAAAATTGAAACATCCCTGATACCAGCAACAACCCAAGGTCAAGGCTACAGCATCAAGTGGTATTTATATGATGTGGTAACCTGGACCACGTCGTATAAATGCCACTAATTTTAATTTCAAATCAATCAGAGTTGTGTAAACTGCTGAGATCCCTTCATCAATAAAGAAATGAGCTGATGATCTACAAAAATTACAGCTAAGGACCATCTCGATCACGCTTTCGAACGACTAAATCGCATCATAATCGATCAGAGCTACGATGACACAGACAGACACACATACACTCACACAAACAGACACACACACACTCACACACACACACACAGGCAGAGACGTCAAACTTACAACACCCCTCTTTTTAGGGTTTAACAGGGTTACTGAGAATTTCCTTTACATATTATTTGGATGATAGATAACTCTCTTCTCTATACTTAGTTTAAAACATTAAAAACAGCAAAATAACTAAGAGTAAGGCTAGTCCCAAAAAGAAACAGTTAATAGATCTGTAAGTTACTTTTAAAAGTAATTATATCAAATCGTATTTTGTTGTCTATTAATATTGCACCTTAACTTTTGGGAGAATGCTCATTTTAGTATGTAAATCACATTTTTTGTGCACTTTTTTGCTGTGCCAAATATGTATAAAGTACATTATTAAGCTTGCATTAAGAATTATTTGAAATATAAACTTATATTATAACAGAACTTGTGGTTATTGAGAAATTAAATGTAGAATATTGTAACACTAATGTTAGAGTTTTGTTTTAATAATGTATATGCATAGTGTTTTTGACAGGGATACCATGCATAAAGTAAGGTAAAACTAACACTGAAGTATTAGAGTACATATACTAAATAAACTACAACAACATACACGAAATAATAAGATTACTAAGCTGCAATATATGTAAATGGTATAATTATTTTATTATTATTGTTGTTGTTATTATGTATTTGAACAATATTTATTTGCATTCAACCATTCATGGTTTATTTTATATAATGGCAACATTTAACTTCAAATGGAAACGGTCATTGATTTGAGTTTAAGCCCTATAGAAGAGATTCAGGGTCGAAAAGTCACAATTTTTTTTTAACATTTAAAATAATGACACAAACCTCTAAAGGTGAAACCATGAATGGGCATTCTCCTTTATTCATAACTTTTTATTTATGGCAGAAATTAATAAAGGGTCTTTTTACAGCTGCGAGTGCAGCAGCAGAATCAGCAGTTCCTAAAGTTGAGACAGGAGACGAACCAGAAGGTGAAGAGAGTAAAGAAGAACCAGTCAATAGTGAAGCCACTGAAACTTTGGAGGCTGGAAATGAGGAAGCATCACACGAGAATGGTGGAGGTGAGATTCCAACATTTTCTATGCAAATATAGCCCATCTAATCTAAGAGGTACTGTTTGACAGTTCTGGCAGATTAAAGAATAGGCAGAGGGTCAAAGAAAGCGAACACTATAATATACAATTGTTAAGAGATTTCGATTACATTTCTTTGTATTTACTAATGGATTAGTATTTAACATAAATATGTATGTTACTGTACTATAAAATCCCGTATGTAATTATATTTTCGATTTTACACGTAAATTTTAGTTTCAAATGTCAGAAATATATGAGAGAAAGATAATTTTTCGGGCTTTTCAGTTCCATCCTACCCTAATCTAGCCAGATTAAAATAAAACATGTGAAATTTTTATGGAGACTAAAAGACACAAGTAATTTTGCCTACAAAGATAAAATTTAAAAATACATTAACAAGAGCTCACCTCACTAACGCTATTTACATAGCACTGACCATACCTACCTACCATCCGTAACTGCTAGCAGAAAAACTGCTTCAAAAGCTGCTCTATTTGTATCAGAAATCTACTGTGTACTTGTTACAAATAATAAACTTTTATATTGTTGCATCAATTCTCTGAACTGATATGTGTAGTTATAGATTTTTATGATTTTGTATTCTGAAGGTTGACATTTTAAAGTCCATGTTCGAGACATAGTATTAATTTGTTTATGTATGTTATTATCAACAGATAAAGAAAATGAAGCAGAGCATGAGGATACAGCTGAAATAGAAGAAAACTTAACTCCAAATGTTATTCAAGAGATATCTTCATTTGACTCTACTTGCATACAATGTAAAACAGAACAATCATGTTCATACAGGATAGCAATGAAAGAAAATGAAACCTCTTACTTATGTAACCCCACTTGTCTCAAGGAGTTTCAGTTAGAGCATCCTGGACAATATACCATTACTTTTAAAAAATATATGATAATAGAAAAAGTACCTAAAATTATGACATGCTCAGAATGTGAGGAATCTAAAATGTGCTACTTCTATTATGATTATGATGGTGAAGATACCAACTATTGCTCATTATCCTGTCTTAACAGTATGATGGGTGATGAAAAAGATAAATATGTATTCAAACGACGTAGAATAGTGGTACTAGAAAGCACTCCTAAAGAAGCTGAATGTTTTGTGTGTCACGAAAACAAAAAATGCATTTTCTCTATGAACAGATATGGTGAAGATTGTTTTATCTGTGAACATCCTTGTATAAAAAACTTAAATATCCAAGAAAGTGGTAGGTATATGATCAAAAAGGTACGGACACTCAGAAAGGTGGACAAGCTTCCTTCAACGGTTAACCCACCATTACTTAAACTAAAAGTCATAAGTAATGCAACAGATAAATATTTAGATGAAGCCTATAAAATACAGGCTAAAACTCCTGCTATGGTACAAGCGGCCAGGGAAGAGAGAGAACGGACTTTCACACGGCGTTGCAATCAGTGTGTTACACCTCTACATGTTGATGAAAAAATATTGACTTGGGAAACCATGGACTTTTGTAATGAAGTATGTTTAGGAAGGTATCAAAATAAAATAGGTTCTAAATGTGCAAACTGCCAAAATGCAGTACAGCATACAAGTTTAGGCAAATATTGTGTGAGATTCGGTTACGATATTCGTCAGTTTTGCAACTCAGGTTGTTTGGAGGAATTTAAGAAAGGTTTGAAAATATGTTGTTATTGTCAAAGGGATATATCTGTAGGGCATCAAGGTTTCTTAGCTCCTGTTGGTGATAAAGGCCAGTTTAAAGATTTTTGTTCGCAAGCTTGTATGGGAAAGTTTGACCAGATGAGTAAAAATCCAATACCTCAACCTGTTTGGGCAAAATGTGCTGTCTGCTCCCTAGAAAAGGCTACGTCAATTGAAGTAGAAGTGAGTGAAGATGTGACACAGAGGTTGTGCTCAGATCCATGTTTTGCTGCTTTCAAATTCGTTAATAACATATTTCCCGGTAAGTGCAACTCTTAAATTACCCATTCAATAATAAAATTAAAATTTGATATGTATATTTCTTAAATTTAAAATCAATTTGTTATATTTTTACAGATCAATGCCGATGGTGCAAAAAATACTTCGAACGCAAACAAAGCAAATGTTTCACAATCTACGAAGCTGCCAATCCTCATTGTTTTTGTTCTAAATCTTGTATGAACGTGTATATAAGCAACTCTCGACATATTGTGCCATGCAACTGGTGTAAAGTCAAAAAGTATAATTTTGATATGATCAGAAGGCTACAAGCGAATGGACAAGCAATAATGATGTGTTCACTTAATTGTTTGAATCTCTATCAAGTTTCCGTCAATGCCGTCTCATCTAGAAGGTAAGTTTTACTTTTTATAATGCTGTGTTTTTTTACTATTTTTATATTACCTACATAATTAATAGTTACAATGCAAACTTAATGGCGGCTCGGAACATGGTGCGTTTCGATGCGCAGAACACAGTATTAGACAGCAGAGGGACGTAGAGGAGCGCGGGGGCAGGCCGCCACATGACACGCATGCCTTTTAGTGTGTGAGTTACATCCGTACACTGCACATGCGCGCACAAACAATCTGTGGATTTCCGGACCGATACGACCTTCAAGAAAAGAGCTTACTCCTTCCTAAAAGGGTGTGCAGTTAATTTCAGAGCCGCCATTAAGTTTGCATCGGACTATACCCGCGACGTCGTTCGTGTGGAATTTGGAAAGCGCCTTGGCCTCGGGTTCGATTCCCCGACCGAAAAATAGCCTAAGTTACTTCTTAAATAGACATACATAGATAAAATATAACAATCCGTCCAGCCATTTTTAAGATTACCCAGAACAATGAGACAGACAAATAATATTTAAACAAATTTTTAGGCATAGGTATCGTGCAAATAACCAGCATGAAAAAAACCTATTATTTTGACATTACAAACAGACACTTCAACTTTACATGGTACAATTAAAGATGGATTGGATCTGCAAACACATTTATCCACATAATCTGTCTAAGATACTGAACAGAAGGAATGAAAAAGAAACTAAAATGTAAATTGCATAGACCACTGCTATAAGTTTTTAGTGAGCATGTCTAATTTACTAATTCTATTATTCCTCTGTTCAGAAGAGTTAGAGAATTTTAAAAGATTTCGTCTCAATACTCATCTCCTTAATATGTTAATTATTACTAAGCTTCAAGTACGTATGATATTCATGGTATGATGTTGTTCTAGAACAAAATGTGACTTGTGCAAGCGCACATCGTTGGCGCAGTACCACCTTACGATGTCGGACGCTACAGTGCGAAACTTCTGCACATATCAATGTGTCATGACATTCCAAGTAAGAATTTATTGCATTTAGTCAGAAATAAAGACCCCAAATGTGTAGTATTGGTATCGTATGCTATATTGTCCGCAACTCGAGTGTGTGCCTGTTTTGTGTGACTTATTAGAGAAGAACTATTGCCATCAAATGATATACATAATTTTTGTGTTGATGTTTAGTGGCTATTTATAAAAAACACTTTTATGGTTGAGAGGTCGAAATTTCGGATGCTAGTTTTACTCAGACTTGAACACCAAACCATGTTGCTCTCAAACTACAGCTCGTTACTGTAAAAATAACATTACACAATAACTCTCCGTTTAATTCGACACTTGGAAGTTTTTCAGACGGATTTTATGACCATTAAGAATGTTTGATAACTTAGCTATTTCTTAGACCTTTCTACTTAATAAGTAAAATTCTCTTTTCTTTTAGAAAAAGTGGGTCTTTTATACCTTGTTCAATATTTGTTCGTTGTCTACAAATTTGAAATACTTAAGTCAAAGTGTATTTCAACAATTAGTATGCTCATTAGGGTCAATACTCCAAGCACACTCCACCCCTAATGCCGGGCGAGTCCATCGACCAGCAGAAGGCCGTACCTACCGGTGCCCCAAGAAGAACATATCCAGCGGCCAGTAAAAACAACAGTGAGTTTATATTTTATAACTAGCTGATACCCGCGACTTCATTTGCGTGGAATTTAAAAAGCGCTTCCTTAGTAGTATAATATAATAATATATTTAAAATAATATATATATTTTTTACGTATAATATATTTTACTATCCTAATTAATGTCGGTATTTGTTTAATTTTTATGCTTTTGTGTGTTGATCGCTAAGTACACATGACTGTGCTCTTACGTTTCTCTGTTGTCCTCTATTCGCTCAAGGTTTGCTGGAAGAAAACTTAGTTTTGGGTTAAGCTCGCCTTTGTACATGACATTTCCTTGTAATTTATATATATCTATGTGTTCAGTGTGTACAATAAAGAATAAATAGAAATAGGTTCGATTCCCAGACCGGGCAAAATTTTAAATGGTTTTTCTGAGGAAAAAATAGCCTATGTTACTTCTTATATAAACACCTACCTGGTAGTAAACTATTATCAAAATTGGTTTAGCCGTTTAAGATTACCCGGAACAAACTGACACAAAAAAACTGCTTTTTAGGCATAGGTATTGTGCAAGTAACCCTGTAAGCATGAACAAAAACTCTATTATTTTGACATTACACATACAATACACTTCAATTTTATTTATTTGTATAGAGTATGAACTTTACGAAAAGAGCTATCCTTGGGTATTGATTTATATTTGAGAGATAAAGTGATCTTAAGAATTCTGTTTGAATGTTTAGACAAAAGTTGAAGAATTAAATCATGCCATACATGGGCTCAGGGCACTTTCCTTTCAAAGGATTACACCAAGGTTTACACGCACTATTTTCCCTTAAACGTATTCTATCGGTAAAATGTAAGGCTTATTTCGAAAACCAACACCTTTTTCTCTTTTTTTAGCCTCTAAAAACACACAGCGTTCTACCGGTGGGATGCCTGTTATCTCAAGCGTACAATCCTTAGCTGCACCACCACCGTTAATGCCGTCCATGACGAGACAAAAGTCAAAACGTCTGCAACAACCCATTCCTGAACCTGAACCCCCCCAGGCGCCTAAAACGCCTCCTCCTCCCCCGAAACCTCCTACACCGCCTCCACCACCCCCACCCAAGATATACAATCACGTTATAGTCAAAACATTACCCGCTAAAGAAGTAGCTAATAAGGCAACTATGTCTAAACCCATGATGGTATCAAAAGGAGTCTCTTGCAGACCTCACCCATGCACAAAAGAGTGTCAAACAGATCCCAGTTTAGAGCGAAGAGTATTAATTCCAGTTCCAGTACCTATATATGTCCCTGTACCGTGTGCAATGTGGTCGCTACCTTTCCCTGTACCAGTTCCTATTCCGCTCCCAATCCCAACACCAATATTCATACCTACAACTAGAAATTCAGCTAAAGGAATCATGAAAGAAATCAATAAGATACATGATAAGATGCCAACGGATCCATTTGAAGCAGAATTGCTAATGATGGCGGAAATGGTAGCAGGTGATAAAAAGAAGGATCAAAGTGATTCAGACACAGATGAAGAGAATGGTAAGTGAAAAGGTACTTTGTTATAATAACAGCTATATAAAATATTATTGTCTAACGTTTTCATATGCCAAGTTAAGCAAAAAAATTATTAAAGTAAAATAAAAATTTCTCGAAACCTTTCAGGACAACTTCCTTTACTACCATAATATTCAACAAACAACATTTTATAGTGACCATGTTTGTTAATATAAGACATCTTTATGCTTTTAAAAGGTAGAGTAGGTGTAGGGTAGGTGAGTAAAAAGACCTTGCTGCTGCCTACTGTACCCGAATGGAATAATAAGCTCTGGAAAGTTTTTGTTGCGAATGCTATCTATGCTGCAACAAAATTCTGAGATTACGATTACGTTTCTTATCAAGAAATTGGTTGGCCTCTAACCTTTTTGGTGACAATAAAACAGTCAAAAAATAGAAAGACGAAAAGAAAAGAGCGTACTTTTTCCTAACAGGCCGGCAACGCGTTTGTGACTCCTCAGTTACAGACGTTCATGGGCGGCGATAGTCACTTTACATCAGGTGACCCGTCTGCTCGTCTGTCCCCCTCTAACATAAAAAAAAGTCAGTTTTGACGCTGCATTTAAAATACTTAAGGCTGAAGTCTATAGTAATTTTAAAAACTATGAGAAATCAACGAGTTTTACGTATTACTATTTCAGAAGCTGAAACGTTTAGTCCCGTCGTAACCGGTATCGACGGCAATAATGCATTCGGCGAAGATATGCTGCAGATGGCACTAAAGATGGCCACGGAATATGAAGATCAGCCCGTCGATTTGGAGTCTGCCATGACGGCCAACACTATCACGCCTAGCTCACATCCTGGTATGCCCGGTGAGTTTAGTCGTCAACATAGTTATAATTTTTTAATTATTTTCTTTAATCCATAATGTGCCCTTCGATTTACATCTTATTTTACAATTTTTTATTCAATTTTAAAATCTTAAATGTTCATTTTCATTTATTTTAATTGTCATCAATAATAATAAAATTATATTATAGTGAATTCTTCCTGCGTGTTAGCTTTCACTGTGAAATTTATTTTCTTTAAGAGTAATTTAAATCTAATCGATCATTATTTTAAAAGTGTTATTCGTTTAAATATTGTTTAACTGATTTATGTTACACTTTAAGATTATTTAAAAACTAACTTTTAATTATAATAATAATATTCCAAATATTAGATGTTATTAGTTATCTAATTATATAATGATAATCTATCTGATAGCAGTGATAAAGTAGATACTAAATTATCTGCTAAAAAATTGAAATCTTTGATTTACGTCAAATCGTGAGTATAACAATTTTTTTTTACAACGTTTTATTATTCAAAAAAACGAGATTGAATCTTACGTTAGAACAGGGAGAGGGGTTCGTGAAATTTGATGTATCCCTACATGGGGCCAAAAATCGTCAAAATTATGCTTACGTAATTATAAAATGTCTCTCAATAAACTGAAAAAGCTAGAAGGCTCAAATGAAGAGTGTATCAGTAGGGTTACCGTAGCTTACCGTGCCTCGGCCGTTTCAGTCACCTAGATGTGTCAATATAGTGGGACGTAATTCCCCAGGTCTCGAAGGCGAGAGCATGCACCACCACCACATGATGGTGATCGAGCAGCAGCGCGCGGTGGCGGCGCTGCGCGCGTCGTCGGGGGCGGGGCGCAAGCGCGGCGGGCCCGGCGCCGTGCCGCCCGCCGCGCCCGCGCCCGCCCGCCCCGCGCGCGCCCCCAAGCGCCGCCGCGCCGACCCGCCGCCCCCGCCGCAGCCCGACCCGCCGCGGGAGCCCGCCGAGAAACCTGACGCTAACATGTGCCTCAAGGTATTCCCGTATACTCGTCTTTACCTTCACCAGTGTCATAAAAGCCTCTTTTAATCTATACATGTAAATGACACCTAAAAATTCCATTTGTTATTAAACGTGATTTTATATGTTGGTCTCTTATATTACTGTTGTTCAATTTTTTATATTCCATTACAAATTTAAGCATATGCCACTTCAAATACCCAAACCTATGCTTGTGAAATAATATTAGGGAACATTGAGAATATAAGTACCCACTCGATACTCGATTGTAACGCACCAGTATTTTTTTTCAGTACACCTTTGGAGTGAACGCATGGAAGCAATGGGTAATGACGAAGAACGCGGAAATAGAAAAATCGTCGGTACGACGAAAACCTTTCAAGTCTGAAATATTGCAGCTAACGGCGGACGAACTGAATTATTCACTATGTTTATTCGTGAAGGAAGTTAGGAAACCTAATGGGAGCGAATATGCACCCGACACTATTTATTATTTGGTTTTAGGTGAGTAACATCATTACACTAAAAAAACTTATTAAGATGTTTGCCAAACGCTACCGAAGCTAACTGCCTGATGCATGCTGTCGATGAATTATTTCTCTACTCTACCAATATAACCTAACATTAGAAACAGCCATGTAATATCAGCCTTTAGAAAATGCTTTCGATTTATGGTCCCTCAGCTCCCCTGCTACTTGTCTAAATATGGGTACACTTGTATCTAAAGAGGTTGTTTTTAAATATTAATTAAAGTGCTCTCTTAAATGCTTATGAGGCTAATTTTCAGTATTTAAGGTAATAGTTGTAAAGTCAGTACTATATAATGTGCATTTTAAATTCTTAATTTCATATTACAGGAATACAACAATATCTATTTGAAAATGGTAGGATAGACAACATATTTACAGACCCATATTATGAGAAGTTCACAGACTGCTTGGATGAGGTCGCTAGGAAGTTTTCAGTTTTATATAATGACTCACGTAAGTACATATTTGTCATGAATAAATTATATCTAATACCAACATATTATATAATCAGAATAAAGCATAATCTGAGTAGATAGACATACATCAAAATTTTTTTTACGTTTTTAGAAGAGCATAAAATAGGTTGCGACTAGTGATGTGCCGAGTCGCTGTTTTGGTGGATCGAATCGACTCGAGTCGGTTTATACGGTATTCGAATTATGACTCGATTCCGCGATTCGAGCCCAGTACTCAAGTTCTATGTTGTATATGAGTTGTTCTATGAGTTCATATGTATGTTTGGTATTCGAGTGTTAACTCTAGTCCAGGACTCGAGTCTAGAAATTCGAGTCCAGAATTCTCCTCCCCTGGGATAGGGCCTGATTAGGCATGGTGTCAATTCGGGGAGGACCTGAAATAACATGGTCCGGGTCCTCCCCAGAGTAGGACACCTGAGGCCGGCCGTCGGGGTGGTTTTTTTGGAATCACCACATACTTCTGGCTCATAGTCCCCGAGGAGCAGGAGATCCGAAGGGATTTTCCACCCCAACAACAAAAAAAAAAGTCGTCACATCATTGCTTATGTAAACAGATATCGAGTACGAGCTCGTCAACCTAACTCGTATGCTAGATTCGAGTCACATGGAATCGCTAAACAGAATCGAGTCAGCGAGTACAAATTCGATTCTTCCTGACTCGAGTGCCGGAATCGAGTCCGGCGTACTCGAATCAAAATAAATTGGTATTCGAATAAGCGAGTCTAAAGCAGGAATCGAGTCTGACTCGAGTCAAGCCCTACTCGGCACATCGCTAGTTGCGACACTAATTTGTTATCTGTATGAAAATCTTTATAAATTGACTTTGAAAATGTTAGTGTTGGTACTTTTAAAATGTTTATTTGCTTCAAAGTGAAAAACAATTCCTTAACAAAATACTTTTTTAAAACCGGTTTTTATAAACTTAAAACTATAAATTAACACAGTTTCACTGCAACAATAGGTGTCTTTGTCGAAAGTAAAAATAATAATATGCAAAAATAAATAAAACTGTGTTGCAAACACGTAAAATCGCTACCTACCAATGTCGATCTAAAAAACTTTCCAGGTGTGTATTGTGAGAAGAAATTGGATAAACAAACTTACGGTAACTCTTTTAAAGCACCAAATAGTGTAAAGATAAGGCATAAGGGATTAAAAAAAATGATATTTTAAGCATTAATTGTGTTGCTGTGTTAATAATGCATTTTATAATGGTCTCTAATTATATTGATAAATTGAGTTAAAAACTATTTACACTTCACTGACAATGTGTTATTTCATAGTTAACACTGCTTTCTTTCGGAGGTCTTGAAAATACTTAATGTAGTTAAGTTTTGAACCAGGTTCTGCTATACCTTCTCTCAAAGATTTTATGACATTCAATGTTATTTTATTTTGTATTTCCAGAATATATTGTAACACGAGTAGAAGAAGAACATCTATGGGAAAGCAAACAGTTGGGTGCACATTCCCCTCACGTACTCCTATCTACGCTTATGTTTTTCAATACGAAACATTTTAACTTAGTCGTGAGTATATTTACAACACAATTTATGCTAAATACTTTTTTGACTCAGCTTGAAGTTAGTTTTAAACTAACTTCAAAAGGAGTTGAAAGTCCTGAATTTAGGTATTTATTGTGATTGTTAAGTGAAAAGCCGTCATTTATGAACCAATTTGTATAATACTTTTTTAATTAATAATACAGATCAGTTATTAAATTTATTGTGAAATATAAATTTTAAATAGTTCTAAGTTTTCATTTAAATCCAAAATAATACTTTGAGTTTAAAAGAAACTATGTAATAAGTTTCTCTTTAATCTGTAATGTTTATTTATTAATTATTAATCTGTAATAAATTTAATCGAGTCATCATCAACCAATAGGAGGTCTTGACGTAGTCCCTTTGCGTTTCAAGCAGAGCTGATAGTGATTCAGAAAGATATTGGTCACCAATTGTTTTGATGTATTAACAATATTCAGATAATATTTTAATTTCACATACTTTTTCCTTGATACGTAAATACGTTTCAGACAGTAGAAGAACATATGCAGCTATCATTTTCGCACATAATGAAGCATTGGAAAAGAAATCCTAACCAGCCTGGTCAGGCAAAAATGCCTGGATCTAGAAACGTATTATTGAGGTTCTACCCGCCACAGTCAGCTTTAGGTGAGTAAAGGTTGTTTTATTATAAGCTTTTCTAAACTGTCTTAAAAGGAGGAGTATAGTTAAATTGTTGATAAAAAATGTTTAACCATTTCAATACTTGTTTATTTTGTCTTGTCTCACAATGTCTTCTCGTCAATTTCTTTATCTTCTTATATATAAAAAAGGATTGCTGTTCGTTAGTCTTACTAAAACTTGACTAATTTTGGTCTGGAAATATTAGTTATATACATATATTAGAAGTTAAAATGGTGGAAACCTAAAAAATAACAATTGTTCATACAAAATGTTCCTCCCTGTCTTACATTTGATTTGCATGACTGCACGGATGTCGAAATGGTTTAAGCGGTCACCTCGCCGCTTTCTACGGCGCTTAGTTTTGTTCGATCCCCAAATGGGACATCATTTTGTGTGATCCACAAATTGTTGTCCTGAGTTTGGGTGTTCTTTGTGTCCGTTTCATGTATGTTTGTAAAATCCCCCGCGGCACAGGATTATATGCCTTGTGAAAAAAAAAAGAAGGTATCAACATTCTCATTATCTGATTATCGCGTATTTATATTAATTGGATTATACGAAGTTCACTGGGAAATCTAGTAGGTTAATATTTTAGAAGGTTTAGTGGGAGGTAAGGTTTGACTACACAAGAATCATCACCGTTATTTGATAGATGTTATATCTTAGCAGTATTATTAGAAATTTAATTAATTTATTTATTTAAGAACTTTTGCATATATATGTACCCTTAAAAAAAAATGACAGTCTAAGTGACTGAACTGATTTACATAAAGCATTTGCCGACTACAGATGACACTCAGAATCCCCGAACATAAATCGTGCGTTAGTGACGTGACTTTAGTTTTGCAATGCACGTCGTAAAGCGCTAAATTCAACTAAACATCTTTCTACTTGGGTGCTTGAGCGCATGCGTGAGGCTTTTTCACTGAAATCAAGCTTTCTCCTGTGTTTTTGCAGAAGCGAATTCGAGAAAGAAAAAGGTATATGAACAACAAGAAAACGAAGAGAATCCCCTACGTTGTCCTGTTAAGTTATATGAATTTTATATTTCCAAATGGTGAGTTATTAATTACATATAAGGATCTGCCTGTTTGATACGCGATTTATCATTATTACTAGTAGGTATTAAGAATGTTAGAGCGGTGTGCTCCGACGTAGCGGCAACATCCTGTTCGAGTTAAAAGTATGAAAGTGACTCTGTCCCTCTCGAGCATAAATAGACCGGACAATGTAAGCAAAAGGTTCCATTGCCCAGTCTATTTATTCAAGTAATATATCACTATTTTCTTTGCTTCCATGATTATATCATTTCGTAGGCTATGACAGAGAGCATATACATTATCGTGTATACATTAAACCTTTAATATAAATCAATATTATCACATTTTTTGTACAGTCCCGAGTCCGTGCGGACCCGAAACGACGTTTTCTACCTGCAGCCAGAGCGATCGTGCGTGCCTGACTCGCCCGTGTGGTACTCCACGCAGGCGCTCAGTCGCCAAGCGCTCGCCAAAATGTTGCACCGCGTCAAGATGGTCAAGGAAATCAACATTGCGCTGCTCACTAGCTAAGGTTTGTCACACAATTAGGACTCTCTTGTGACCTAAAAAAAACTTGGTTAAATTATTAGTACAAATCAGTATTAAAGTGTTTCTAGGCACTATTAACCGCTTACCGGGAAGTGGGTTGTGTGTTTGTTTGTTAAATTAGTTATAGATAATATAGTTCTGGCTTCTACATCATTCAAGGATTATCAATGAGCATATTGAAAATAAAAACTTATCTTTGTATATCACAGACAATGTGTAAGAAAGAGCGACAGTGTAAAAAATATGCATGAAACTATATAACTCGCACTCCGTTAGTGTTTTGCATACACATACTTGATGCAACAAATATAAAAGGTGAATATTCGTTCTTTTTATTAAGTTAACAAATTTTTAATTCTTAAATTTTCTGCGCCATTCACCTCCTGCAGAAATTAAATTTACCGTCACTAAAATACTCAATTATTTAAATCAAGCCAATGACATAATGACACGAATTTATTTGGGCAGATATTGTAGTAGCGAGTTTCCGATATTGTATGAGCAGTATTAAATTTATATCAATATCTTTAATAGTTATTTAATTTATTTTTATTGCAGATTTTACCCCCCAGTCTGTTAATGGCTTTGAAAATGTTGCACCAGTATGATGCTAATGAGTGGCGTTACAGCAGTCTCAGCGTGTCTCGCTGACACTTTGGCGCCAAGTAGTATGTGCGAGTACAGAACCTCTTGTTGTAGACGTGGTGACATGTATATTTTTTCTACTTTGTATATCCTGTGTATGGACGGTCAGACACTAATGTTAAATAAATAGTTAATATTAAAATACTTTTTTATAATGTTGCAATATTTAAGCCAGTAAGCAACTGTGCTGGAAAGTTTGTATGTACAGAAAATGATACCAGTTGTATCTTTAAATTCCTTAATTGTTTTATTTGTTGTATTACCCACATATTTCACCTTGAATGTAATGGATCTAATTTTAGGGTTAATTGTTCTATTCGTATCAATTTAAAATTTGTAAATACGCCAAGCGATGCAAGAATCAGTTTTGTGTTGATTTTAAGTGTGTGACTAAAAGTGATACATTCTCATAGTGATCGGCATTAATTTACATGTTCCTTGGTCCTCGGAAATGGAGATATTTCATAACACACATGTAATATTTTAATATTATTAAATATTAGATTGTAAGTAAAAACAATTCCAAGTTTTAGGGAAAACTCACTTGTGTTATAGTAGTATCTATTAATTTTTTTATAAATTGGTAAAACGCTAATAATTTCTCAGATAGAATTTTTATTGAAAATAATATAACTTAGTAAAAGAGTCAGATTCGTATTATATTTTAAGTATAATGGCGTCAGTTGTAAGGGTTAGGTGTAAAGCTGTGTAAAAAAAGGAATACTGATTCTTTAAAAAGTGTTTCATTTTAAAACCCTTTACTTATTTGATTTATTCCACTTTACCTGGGTGACTGAAGTATGTAGATTTTTTGGTTTCCTCATTTTACCTTTGAAGAATTTCACCTAGATGATATCACCATCACCCAGGTGAAATAATTCGACATAAGTGAAGGCCTTCAGATGAATAAAGGCGTTTTTATTTATTCATCTTGTGTACTTTATCACAAACAGAAAGCATCTTAATAAAAAGTTTCAAATTTACAGTCAACTTAATATTCAAATCAATTTAATTACCGTCAAGTGGAGTTATTTGGATATCACTAGGTTATTTGGAATTCTCGTAAGAAAAGATTTTTGACGGACTTGTGTATTTTTTTATCTGGGAATACTAGAAAATATATTTTGCCACCTGGCGATACAACGACGTTTAATGTCAATGTAATACTGGAATTTTGGCGGTAATTGGCCGTAAACGTTTAGTAATGCGTCATTTAAAAAAGCCTTAAATTTTGGTGTATTTAGTGGTTCTAAAACTTTCGCTTGGTACACTACATATAGATATAGCTAAAAGTAAGGTATGTAAAGACAAACAAACTGCGATACACTGTTTCATCTGCATTTCAGTGATTCCATTTGATTTTTTCCACGTCTTACAGACTGCTGTATTTTTCCATTTTACTAAATGGGGCTTTTTGGTTTCTGTTTGGGGTTAATTGGAACTTAGTTTTAAATAGCCCCTTTAAAGCTTGTAAACATTGCCATGTGTTTTATTTATCCACTCATTTTAACTCAGTTAAGGGTAAGATGTTTCTCGGCAATAAACAAAAGATTTTGTTTAATCAACGGTAAGGCCTATGTCCAGCAGTGGACTGTTAAAGGCTGTTGATGATAAGTACAATATATACAGATGTTTAATAAAAACAATAAAAGAAAAAGAAGGATTTGTATTCAAAATAGATGATATACATACCTTTCGTAATATATTGATAAAATTATTAGTAGTTACAAAAATGACTAGCTATTAGTAGCCTTATAGCCTATAAGTCCTTGAACCCGACGGCGCTACCAGTGGCGGATTCAGGTTTTTGGTTTGGGAGCGCCTTGACCCTGGTGAGGGTAGGTTTTATCAAGAAAAAAACAATAAAAAAGCATACATTTTATTTTGCTTAACGCATAACCAGTCTCGGGTAACTTTTCGTGAATTCTTCAATGACTTCGTTATGTTGTAGACTGCCAGACATATCTCGATGAATATACATGGCAGCCAAACCGTTCAACCTGTCTTTCGTCGTTGTCGACGCAGGTGATCACCGGGAAAGATCCTTCAGAGATCACCTGTGTCTGATCCGCAAGGAGTCAAAGCCTGAGTGCCACCACTGCGATGGCCGGACCGTGGACACAGCGCTCTATACGCTGGCAGAATGCCCGGCGTGGGTGGAGCAGAGGCGTTGCCTCGTGTCGGCCATCGGAGTGGGAATTCTCTCGCTCGGTAACATGATTGCCGCCATAGTACGGAACGAGAGTTCGTGGAACTCCGTCCTCCGCCGTCTCCTTCTGCGAGCAAGTTATGCTTGCAAAGGAGATGGCGGAGTGAGACCGGGAGAGGTCACAAGTCAATCAATACAATCAGTCCGTATTCATTATATTAAGCAAAATTTCGCATTAAGTCGTCGAACGTCAATGGAACAAAGGGCATAGCAATTCACTCGGAGACACTGTCAATGAGCTGGCAAGAAAGGGCTCAAGTGACATTATGAGCAGGTACTCATCACTAGGTACTGCTGCCACATTACTTCAACCGATTTGGCTCATGGCTAAAGTAGTGATCTAAACTGCTCAATGTAAACTGAAAAGACATCAGGATATAGGAAACATTATGGACCTGGAATATTTGTTAAATAAGCAGCGCTGTGTTGTCACTTTTTTCCGCCAGCGAACCACGTTACCGTGGAGTGGTGACGGTGGTGGAGTATAGCTACACAAGGTGCAAGTATCTTCCGCAATCCGCAGTACAGTGCCACTCACGTGCTTGCAACGGTCGCGAGTTGCAGGCTGCCGCCGTGTGTGGCACTATAGGTCAGCGGGCTGGGATGGGATGCGTTCCTTCCTTGCGTCCTACCCATGGAAGCAGATCTGTTTCTTGCCGGATGATCCCACCGTCGTTGCCGATTCTGTCACTGATGTAGTAATTCAGGGCATGGAACTATTTGTTCCTTCTACATTAATTCCCATCGGTGGCAGATCCAAGTCCTGGTTCGACAGATCCTGCAAAACGCCGTCCCGCCGAAAGCGGGAATGCTACCAAGCATGGGCAAATGCAGCGACGGCAGGCGATGTAAATACCAGCAAGTTAAAAAAACAGTATAACTTTGCCTCCAGGTTCCTTAAAAGAGCCATTACTAGGGCGAAATCGGATCACATCAGCCGGATCGGTGAGAGACTAGTGAGACTTCCTTTTGGAACTCGTGCATTCTGGTCTCTTGCCAAGGCTGTCCAGGGGAATTTCTGTAGCCAATCCTTTCCACCCCTGCAGATAGGAGATAATGCGTTGGCCTATGATGCCAAGGAGAAAGCTGATCTCCTTGGCAAATTCTTTACATTCAACTCGACTTTTGAATATGGGGGAAACGCACTGCCGACCATACCGCGGTGCCAGAGCTATATGCCTGATATCCGGTTCATAAAAAAAATCAGTGCGTAAAGCACTCTTCTAAGGTGATCGAGACCAAAGGAGAGGCTTGTGCAGTTGGTTTTTACATAGCGAAGGCCTTTGATCGGGTCTGGCATAAGGCGCTTCTCTAGAAGCTCCCTTACTTTGGGCTTCCCGAGAAATTGTGTAATTGGGTCACCAGCTTCCTTGCGGACTGAAGCATTAAGGTCGTTGTCGACGGTGCATGCTCCGACTTGAAATTTGTAAATGCCGGTGTCCCACAAGGCTGTGTGCTATCACCCACACTGTTTCTTCTGCATATCAATGACATGTCGCAAACTAGTGGCATGCATTGCTATGCAGATGATAGCGCAGGAGATGCCCTTTATACCGGCTGCCCCAACATTTCTCGGGAAAACGTCATCGAGAGTCGAAACAAACTTGTGTCTGACATTGAAACTTCCTTAGCGGAGGTTTCAGATTGGGGCCGACTAAATCTAGTCATGTTTAACTCCAAAAAGGCACAGGTATGTGCGTTCACCGCAAAAAAGATACCATTTGTCGTATCACCCGAGTTTGAGAGCACCTTCCCAACTGCCTCAGCCAGCATCGGAATCCTAGGCATCGACATATCGAGCGAAGTCCAGTTTCTGGGTCACTTAGAGGGTAAGGTCAAATTGGCCTCGAAGAAGCTCGGTGTACTGAACAGAGCGAAGCAGTATTTAACTCCGGTCCACCGCCTTCAGCTCTATAAGGCGCAAGTCCGGCCGCATATGGAATACTGTTCTCATCTCTATGCAGGGGCACCTCAGTACCAGCTTTTCCCTCTGAACCGCATCCAACGAAGAGCTACTCGAATTGTCGATAGCCCAAACATCTCATCATCATCAACGATCGGCTCGATCCCTTAACGTTACGTAGAGATGTGGCTTCACTCTGCATTCTCTATCTATCGCATATATCATCGAGAGTGCTCCGAGGAATTGTTCGGACTAATACCAGCCGCAAATTTTCGCCATCGTTCCATACGGCAAAATTTTCATCCTCATTATCTGGATAGTTGGCGTTCCAACAACATCAATAGATGCCACTTTTCTCACTGAGTTAATTGATTCACTGAAATTAGATATACACTAAAGGATAGAGTGTCTTCGAAGCGAGCAAAGAATTCATAGAAAATTTCAAAAATCAAAAAAATGGTGGTTAGAGCCATAAGTAGTTACTGGACCGCGGTGACGGAACGAAGTGCTGACCGAAGCTTATAGGCGGACGACTGAGTTTCGTACAGGTAAAGGCAGTCGGCTCCCCTCGCAGAAGGAGGCAGCGGAGAGGGCCTGGGAGGAAGATCTGAACTCGTATCCAATTATTATTCACCGCCAGCCAACCGGTACCCGAAGGCACGCTTACCAGCCCCTGCTAATATTTAAGATAGAATCAACGGACCAGCAGTATCTGCCTCTGAAAAAGCGTGAACACCACCAGGAGTCAAGAGTCCCCGGAAGATCCTAAAAGTCGAAAATATTTTTAGTGGATTAGTGTTTCAAAACTTTTTTAACATTGCTGCGTGCCTATCACTTATAACCTTGTGCTTGTTTGCTAACTTAGTTTAATAAAAAAAAACCAAAGGTACTTAGACTAACACAGCAGGACCACTGCCGGAGTAGACTTCATGTCAAAGTGCTTTCAATCTGCATAAAGGTAACAACTTTATATAATTTACGATTTGGTTTAGTTTTCAAATTATAAATTTGTGAAACCAAGATGGCTCGACGTTGATATAAAACCCATATGTATTTTAAATTTTAGTGTTTTTTTCATAAATATCTCCATCAGGAAATTGACACATTTGAATCTCTTCAATGAAACCTCAGATTTTACCAACCAAACATATTAAACGTCCCAGCGCCCAGCGGCATAAGCATGAACTAATCGACTCTCTCGCTCTTGCTCACCCTAAATAAGGCCGACAAGACAGTGATAATAGAAATAGGAAACCCACAAACAGGACGTTATTTACAATTCAAGCTATAAATATGTAGTAAAAGAAATGAATTAGTGTTTTTCGAATTTCTTTTTCAATATCCTTTACACTCAGATCAATATTACGGGAGGTTGGATCTTTATAATTTTTTGTGCCTTTAACAGTATATTATCTAGAAAACATTTTTATTTTTTGAGATACTTATGTAAACAATAGTTAATAAAAGCTTGTATTATTGTATCACGATCGCCATTACTATCAGCATTATTAAATTAACGGTGGAAGATGTGTGACTGTACTATTGCGTATATTGTGTAGAGGTATTCATTCTTGAAGGTTCTTAAAAGGATTTATAAAAAGAACACGGTATTCTTTCAATTTTGGCGGGAGCTCTGGCATGTTGTATTGTGGTTGTCGAATAGATATCTGTCACCTGTCGTCCTCTGGCCTCGTCGACGCCGATATTCGCTAAGTTTCAGTGGTTCTGTCTACAGTGTCTACAAAAATTAACAGTGCAATAGTGTACTTCCTGGTGCTCGATCTATAAGGACATTCGACGATGCGTCGTTTTTAGGAAGGTCGGATATGGATAGTAGAAGAGCTTGCCCAAGCTACGAAGCCGGGTTTGATGCTTGTGATCCTTTTGGATCCGTACTGGAGTGGTCTGGTCGAGAGCCAGCACGTATATTGCGGCGTCGTTGCCGCAGCGAAGGCTTGGAGCGGTCGCCATACGAGGATGCGATTCGCGAAGCAAGCCTTCGGACTCATCGGGCATTGCCTAATAAGTGCCACTTCACGTTAAACAGTGAATGCGAGCAGCACTTCGATCGGTTCCGTCACGAATGCTTGCTACCAGCTGCGGAAAACGGCGACTACCTCATGTCCCATGACCCAGAACCCACATACCTTGGGTGAGAATAACATAACCTGTGATCACATTTATTTCGCTTTACATATATCTAACCTTAAATATATTCTAATTGTGCTCCTTATCGTGATGGCTAGGCATAGGTGGCATTTAACTGAGAAGTTCAATGTAAAAACCTAACATATAAGAAAATCTTGATATGTTTTTAACTTTATGTGACAATAAGCCAAAAACAATAAACATATGTATATATTGTTTTAGCTATCAACCAGGAAGATCTAAATTCTACCGTACAAGTCCTACAAGACCTTTATTAATAACGACATTATCAAATACTAAAGTAGATGATAGCCGATTGCCAAAAGTTGAAGAATTATTAGAGAGAGTTGACCAGGAAATGATGGATGTACAGGTCACAAAACAGCCTCTGAAATCAATACTCAATAATCCATTACCAAGTTCACCCCTTCATGGCATACTGAAGAAACCTAAGAGTAGATCTTATCAGGACAATAAAGGTCTCATGGAAGGTCGCAGAAGACAGCGGGCATCAAGTGAATCTGATAATTTACTTTATAATTTTCATGCAGGAATGCCTATACCAGGATATGAGTAAGTGTTTTGTCATATTTTTTATTAAAAGGCAAGTAATCCTGACTCTTTGAAACTCATCAGTATACGGAAATAACAAAAAGCTGTAATTAATGGAAGGCTAGTTTATTACTACTTAACTACTTTGTTTACACATGATTTTTGAAGAATTTGGTTCTAACATTTAGACCAGATAGGATAATATCACTCTATTTCAAGGTTTTACATCTATCTTGTATTCAACATGATGTTCAATTAAAGTTATAACATAGTAACCGAACAGTCTCAAACTTACAATAAAAGCCTCCAAAAAATATCAAAAACCTCATTTAATGGAATAATAAAAGTAAGTTATAATTACATTTTTAACTAACTACTGTACATATTTTACAGTTGCAATAAGGAAATGAACAAGCTAGTATTCTGTCTTTTAGGTTATACTCACATGCTTAAATGAACACATGTTTAAAATGACTTTTTAAGACTATAGAAGGCTGTCCTAACAAATTAATTTACATGTATTTATATTGAATCTATATGCTTCACCATTTTATGGTGTTTACTATTTTAGAGCAATGTACATAGACATAGTACTGGTTAAATTCAACAGGTTTCATGATATCTTGTAATAACCAAATTCTTGACTGTCATAATTAATGATAATAGCTTTGTTATAATGTTTTACTTAGCTTACATTGATGTACATCATTCTCGGTTCTTAAATAAGTAATAAAGTCGCTACTGCTATTGTAGGTAATTATTGTTAGTTACTGCCAAGAAGAGACAGGGTTTTCAGTAAAAATATAAATTATTCTGAGAGATGATACTGAAAGTACAATTGTTTAACTATTTGTTTTTATAGAATAGTTTTAAATTCAGTATGTTCTGACAGACATTGAGTTCAACTTTTATCATATATTATTTATATACGACAGCAGACTGAGAAAAAACACATAGCCAATCAGAAGTCATTTAATAAAAAGTGACCTATATTTGCAACACTACAGATAAAATCAACATCTTGTCTTACTTCCTAAGGAGCTTGGACGGCGTAATGGTTTAAGCGGTCGCCATGACGCTTTCTACTAGTGTTGTTGGTTCAAACCCTAACAGGGCCGACACTTTCTTTCTGAGTCAGGTTGTTCTTTGTGTCCGTTTCATGTATGTTTTTAGAGTCTGCAACAGAGGATATAACCCTAATGTGGGAGTTGACTTTAATAAAAAAAGCTCTAACAAATTACAAACGCCTTTGGGTAGAGAAATACATTTTTCTTTATATATCCACATCTACATAAATATACAATTTATAGTGTAATATTATTATGTCCAATTAATTGCCTGTTATATACAGATTGATTTATGTGATTATCTAATTATATTCGAATCCAGTTTTTTAGGCGTCACATAGGCATTCTATGACCTTGTATTTTTGTTGTCTATTTTAAAGTCAAGGTTGACTGAATTAATCTAATGTTTGATTATACATGGTGTGTGATATATGTATAACAGACTTAATGTGTGTGTGTTATATAAGGTCTATGTAATGAGATTTTGTATTTTTAATAGTGTTGGGGATTTAACACTACTGGTTATGGTTATGCAGAGATAAGCCAAATGCTTAATATGCAATTTCTGCTTATGAAATTGTGGCTAACATTAGTCAGTTTTCAAGAGCATGTGACCATTTGAGAAGCATTTCTACAAGGTTAAAGATGAACTATATTTTAGACACAGACTTATTGTTCAAACAAATGCATTCTCTTCTGAGTCTCTCATAGATTAGTTTTGAGGATCCTTGTGTAGAGTTTAATAAGTCTGCAACTCAAAACCAAAGATGACACTTCCAATGTTAGACATTGGTTATAGCTTGCAGTGAAACTGTCTCTAGTTCAAATCTCTACATGAAATTGTTACTGTAGCTGGTTCTAGAACAATTCTTCTTCCCATTCCAGTTTGCTAAAAACTGACATAATTTGAATAGAAAACAAAATAGTAAGAATATATCAAATTAATACTATGATTTATCACAGACAACCTACAGTAATATATGTATATCATATTTGAACAAATTGTGGCTTGCTTGGTTTATATAGAATATAGGATAGTGATAAAAATTAAGTTAACCCCTTTGATCATGTTAGGCTAGGTGTTATAAATATAACAGAAGGGTAGTTCTATTTTCATGTCAACCGCTCTAATGCAGGTATATAAATAGACAGAGGACCTAATAAGTTCACCAACCAAGTATTTTGCAATTGACTGAGTAACATACAGTCAGGACAAAACAGTTTAAGAACATTATATTATTATATTTATTTTTGTAAAGTAAAAGGAAAATCCATGCTAATCCAAAGTATTAACTTCAAGTTGAATGTTCACATCTAGCGTCTCTCGAACTCGAGCAATCATGTGTGCAAAAGCTCAGCTTCTGAAGTACAATCACGAACAATATCATTTTCAAACTGGTTTCATTCAAACATTTAATTAAGTGATGTTATTGCCTACAATTACAAATTGATGATTCGGTAAAATATAACAAGAAAAGCCCGATTGCGTATTATTTAATCTTTTGAAGTGTCTGTGAGCACATTTAGGTTTTAATGTATTACGAACTAATTATAGAAAGTAGCTAGTATTAGCCCTGCCATTTCTTGTGTGAATTTCTAGGTTTAAATTTAATTGTTTATAGGAATTATCATACGATTAGTATACGACATTAGAGATTCCCCTTAAAATTGTGTACCAAGAATGTCTCACTGATGAAATACTATTTCTATTTTAAACTAGATGTATGCACTTCGCTGTGGCACATTGTGGTAGCATTGTTGAGAATAATGAACAAAACTGACACTTGAAACGGTTTATTTATCGTGTCAAAATATTAGCTCAATCAGTGCAGAACTTTTTGAGTTTTGGAAGCATACACAAACCAACTAACATTGTTATATACTCTAAATACCAAAGGTACTTCCATTCGCTAAGGTTCTTAAAGTTCCATTAAATCGTTATTAGTATAATAAGAAATAATTAGTTACTTCTAACCTCACCTTTAGAAGAAAAAATAAGGCTAGTTATATTATATTTGTAAAATACTTCACCTAGATATTCTGTAGGTTTAAGTGCTACTCGAAATGTGTCAGAAACTCATATTCATATCGCATTTTGTGACTAATATTCGGCAGTGTGCATGACTTTGTAAATATCACTATATGTTATAAATTCCCCTGCCGTTTTTCTGGCTGTCTGTTTGTATGCCTGAACGTGGTAAATTCAGAAATCACTAAACCGGTCTTCATACCATTCCATACCAAAGTAATCCATGAAGAAGGTTCTACTGTATAACTTACTAGCTATTGTCCGCGACTTCGCTCCCATAATTATTTCTCACTTTGAAAATGACGAACTTCCATACAACCGTTCACCTTATTTTACCTCCTTAGGGGTGAAATTTCCAAAAATCACATACAACATAAAAAGCATCAGCTGCAAAAATTTCATGTATGTAGTAGCCACAGCTGTTTAGGCTCTGCGTTGATAAATCGATCAGTCACAGTAAGCAATTTTTATATTTATGTAGAGATTAAAGTTTTGTATACATGTGAATATAACAACGATTCTTAAAGATGGCCGAAAAAATTATGCCGTCTGGGAGCTCTACTGACGTGCGCTGCGTAGAAAATATATTATGGATTTATTCATTAAAAGGATCCGTAACAATATAACAGCGCTACATTATATCGTATCTTCAAAAATAAAGAAAAGAGCGTACTCCTTCCTAAAAGGCCGGCAACGCGTTTATGACTCCTGAGTTGAAGACGTTTATAGGCGGCGATGGTCACTTTCCATCGGGTGACCTGCCTGCTCCCCCTCCCCTCTAACATAAAAAAATAATACACAATAACTAGAGCATGTTGGGCTTATAAGTTCTAAACGGGGCGGTTTGGGTTATAAATGCTAGTCAGTAATAAATCTATCTTTATGTCTTTGCTGAAATATTTCATGATCTAATTATTACACAAATAAGTGAGTTTGTTATGCTGGGTACTGGCATTGAAGATTCTAAATATATTCCGTAGTATATACCATTACAGTAGGATGCAGATATTTATTTCTCTGTTTTAACTATCCACAGTTATGTTATTAATAAACTATCTTGTTGGTAAAAGGGGTTTTTAAAGAAGAAAGAAAAATACATTCTTCGTAAATAGGTATTATTATACGAGTACATTTGTATGAAAGTCACCATTAATTTTTAAATGAATAAAAAGGAAGCCCAAAAGTGACATACTTTCTAGCGATGACATGGCATCGTACGGAATTCAGACTCACATCAAAGAAATGTACGAAAGTATGCACTCATTAAAAAAAATAATACAAAGGCTTACGAGAAAACAATGATCAAATTGTCACCCCAAGGAAGTATACTCTCTAGTAGTGACAATTTATTTATTTATTTCACTATGTAGTAATCGAGTTTTAGACTTACTTATGAATAAAAAAAAATGTACGAGAAGTGTAGGTTTTAAAGCATTTTAGGTATATAATGTACTCTTAAGTAATTTTATATGGTAGTATAGAAACATTTTAATGGAAAATGTGTGGTGTATCAAGTACAAACATAAATTCAACACGTAGATTCCATTAACTAGAATATGAGTATCTACTACAAAGTTAACATATTGCGAGAATGTGTAGCTATACTTACAATGAGAATGCAGATAGATGTTTCCCTATTAATCATCACTGTAATCATCACTTCCGAACGCATTAATAGACCAAATAGGAGTGCAAGTATTTATAATTATTTATTATTAGACAGTCCACTGCTGGACTTCAACCTTATTATACGAGTTTTATAGTGGTATCCCCGAAACAATGACGGTTTCGGAGCTACTAAAATTTAATTTTAATCTAATCATGTCTTTTTGGTTTTAGTCGCTTCTCCTCGGGAAACACGAAACGCGCTAAAGATAACTCCGGCATTGGTTACTCCTATGGTTCGGCGGTCGCTACACTGGGTACCCCAGCGACCATCAAAAGTCCAAACAAAAGTCCGTCAAGGAGTCACAAGCTTTCACGCTGCGCTTGCAAGGATCAGCTTATGCTGGTGAATCACGAAGACATGCATTTATTGAGGACGTCGTCCATTAACAATAGTGAAACGGTTCACATGGATCCTATCATCGATATAGGATTGGTAAGTTTATTTTTTCAATTCTTTTTCAAAGTAGACTTGACGATTTTTTAAGAATCTAACTAAAGTCTTACCATTACTGGTATAGAGCCAAGGTCTTCTTCTTATTGCTGCCATTTGCTTGTTTGCGATTATCTATTTTCTATCTATACAAATCAATAAAATTGTCTGTTTGTAATGTCAAAATAATGCCTAAAAACCAGTTTAAATATTTTTGTCTGTCCGTCTATCGGTCTGTTTGTTTCGGGTAATCTTCAAAACGGCTGGACCAATTTTGATAATATTTTACTACCAGGTAGCTGTCTACATAAGGAGTAACTGAGCCTATTTTTTTTCTCAGAAAAATCCTACAAAATTTTGCCCGGCCTGGGAGTCGAACCCACTAAGGCAGCGCTTTTCAAATTCCACGCAACGTAGCCGCGGGCACCAGCTAGTCTTATATATATTAAAAGCATTTCTAACAGTATACGTATTTAAGGACTTTACGGCTAAAAAGCATAGGACCAAAGCCACTTTGCATTGCAAATGTCTGGCAATTTATATAACAGTTTTTTCGTCCGTATTTATTGATTTCATACCCATTTACTGAGGGACTTAACCATATTATTTTACAAGCAATTAGAAGCCCAATTCTTGTAATAAAAGTTCGGTCAAAATTCAGTTCGGATCAGTATTACTAAGACTAGCAAGAATACCGATTCAACTTTTGGTCATAATATGATATAATCACATTGCAGTCAACGATGGATGTTTAATACTTTACTACGAGAAGAATACCTTTTATGAGACCGAGAGTAGGTCGGAACTGAATGTTGCACGAATTTTTATTACGAGAATTGACCTTCAGTTTTTCGTTAAATGTCAAAACTGTAGGCCCTGTAGTTTTAATAGACATTTCATTTAATGACACACGATATGTTTTTTTTTTTCAATATTATAAGTTGGTTCCTAAAATTGATTGATTGGATTACATTGGACTGAGCGATTCTATTACAAATTAATTGATTTGCGTAACAAATTTGGAGTTAATCGGTCAAGTAGATTTGGAGTAAATAGGCTGAGACAGATGGACCGACGGCGCACGAGTAATATTATAAGGATTACGAAGTACAAAACCTTAATATTAGCGATAAATTTTATAACCCACTTTGCCGGGGGCAACTTTTCTAAATTTTCTTTCTCTGAAAACTTTATTCGGATTATGACGGCCCTTTTTTTTCGGTATTCTCTTTATGGTTTTCCAATTGTCAGTCAGTCTTTGATAAGCCTTGGGCATTAAGTCCGCCAATGCACCAAAAGTGCATGATGTATAAATAAATAAGCAAATGGCAAAAAGACAAAAAATCATAATGAGATTCGGTGCAGGATATCCAGAAAGGCTTTTTTAGTGTGCTTAGGTTGACAGACACAATAATAACAGATTTCATTGTTGAAACACGTAGATATGTACATTAACAGATAATGCTCAATACGCAATTGTTTTTTTCGATAATTCTCGAAGTACGAGCAAGATAGATTACTTTTATTGTTGTCTAAACTGACAAGATTACATTTGGGTAGTTACTTCAGTGATTATATATACTATCTGTTTTAGAAATCTTGAAGGCTCGTATAATATCATAAATATGAATGTATGTTTGTTTATTTGTTAAGCTTTCAACCCTTAATTACTCAATCGAGCATGATAATTTGCACACAAGTCGTCAGATGTCAAGGGAATAAAAAACTACTTGAAAGTCGAAAATCGAATGTTGCACATTTTTCAAAAGAAGAACCTCATAGGTATCATGTGAAAAAAGTTTGACACGAGAAATTTACACCATGAAGGTTTTATGTCAATTCAAAGTATCTATTACTCTACAACGGCAATTTCATACTGTAACCCCCTATTATTATGTATAAAATTTCTTTCCTGAAGAGTACTCACAATTCCATCACTAGGTGTTTTCTAGTGACTATTAGCATTGTGACAATCCTATTTTGAAACTACACACATTATGTGGCTTCGTGCCTACATCGTGGCTTCTACACTGCGATTGTGCTGCCTTTTAGTCGAAAGTAGAGGCATCAAGGGTTACAGACTATTTATGACAACAGCTGACGGTGTTACTGACGTGCTTCGATGAACGTAATACAGCCATAGATATTACGTCACATACGATGGTGTTTATTTCAACATAATGACTCAAGGGACGCCAAATATTCGTATTCGATATAATTAAATAGCTTTTACCACTGTAACGAAAGCACGTGTTGTAAATCCCACGTGTTATAACTAGAATTACCTTGGAAATGTGTCAAAGCTCTTTTCCGTAGAACACGCGTTGTAGCTTTTGTTGTACGTAGTCGATCGTGAAGTGGTGTTTGGTAGAAATTTGTCCGTACTTAGCTTGTCTGTGCCTCTATTATTTTAAACTGTAAGTACTCACAACAGTGTTATACATATATAATATGTATGTACATGCTATGATAACTGCGCAACTTCTAAGGTTAACATCTGCAGTATTTCATCTGCAGGATTTTTATTTTATGGATACGGCTTATCTATAAATCTTTTATAATTTAAGCTATATGCGTTGTGTAATAAAACTCAGAAATTTCAAGTAAAAGCAACTAATTATACACATAATCAACATCGTAATTTTTTAGCCTTTTATCTTATTATGTCATTTAAAAATTAATAAAACCTGATATCGTAATTATTTTCGGTCTCGTGTGTTACTACTTTACGACCACTGGCCGACATCAGTCGAAAAGATTGTTTACATTACGATCAACGCGGAAGTTGTGGAATTTTTTTAAAAGATATTTTCGGTTAAGTGACGAAGAATTTTTTCTTATTCATATGACGTGTTCAATAGATTCGGCGTTATGCAAGACGTGAACTAGGCAGTGTGTCATGCATTTTGTAGCTTTAGACTGGAACGCAAGAGCAGCGAGTAGTAAGTGCGATATTTTCGGTGTAGACACGCGTCACGCGTCTGGAATACATACAAATGGGTTTCCTGAACAAAGTTTGGAAGAGACTTTCTCACAATGTAAGTTGTATATCTTAATATTTAGGCTATTTTTGATGCTCGCTGGCTTTTTAATGAGTTTATACTTAAAAATTGATGAAAATGAAAACTGAAATGTATGTATAATTTGATAATTGTTCCGAAGAATAATCAAAGTTTTGGTTCTTGGGAAACATACAGCACATATTTAGAATCACTAATGCACACGATAAATTCTGTTTTTATTAGAACCTATATCTTGTTTTAAATAAATATATGATATAAATGTGATGTTGTGTATCAGCGTAGGTGTGACAAGATTATTATTACTGGTTACATCTCGTGCAGCCTTGTTTTATTGTCTGTTTAATTCTGTACACTTTAGATTTTATTGTGGCATCGGGCACCATGCCAAAATGTACAAAATGTCAATACGATGCATTATCACTGTTACTACCGCGACGATTTCATCTACTGTCGATTAATAAATTAAATCGCCAAATTAACAATTCTGGTTATAAATTACGATTAAATTATAATATCGGACAATTATTGTTCTAGTTTAAACACCTGGAGGTATTCGAATTATTTGTTTATTCGAGGCCTTGACACGTATAGTGCGGTTATATTTAAAAACGATTCGTTCAGTTGTTTGCTACAATAAGTGCAGTTTCGTAAAGAGATCTCCAGTCACCGGTGATGCTTGCCAAAACGATTTGCGAAAGTACTGGACTCCACCGGTAAATCTTTGAATTCATTATTTTTTTTGTCGACCTATTTCTATGGCCATTATTTCTAGTGCAAGCGTTTCGATAATAATTATCACAACTATTAATTCTGACGTCTGATAATAATTTACTAATGACTCGACACGTTTCCGTTTTAAATAAAACACATTACAAATTGATGTTACGTCGCGTAAATAAATATTGTAATTGCGTGTCCTTTTTGTTGAATAGTATTAGTTCTAGTCCGCATATAGGTTGAAAACACTGTTTTAAAAAGCGTTTATTATGACAGTGGCTTCCCGAAAATACTTCCCCATTAAGCTTTGCGCTAAGTTATTTTATTCCATCCCATTAATTCAAAACATGATTTTAAAACAACGAAGATTTAAAATGATGTTCATGTGTTTCAATTCACATTGTAACTTAAACGGCTGTTTTTTTTTTATGTTATCTGTGTATATCTAATATTCGTCATTTTGTAAAACGTTTAAGCGATTTATGTTTGTAACCTACTTTGAATGATAATGAGACTTAGTACGCCGAAGCCGGGTGATCGGCCTTCCGGCCCGAGGCCGTCGATGGAGACGGAGGGTGCCGCTAGAGAGCGGCGAAGTTCGCGGCGGGATGCCTAGATGGAACTCTAATAATGGATCCACATCCTCCAGGCGAACGTGGGCCACGGTGCGGTTGGTTTCTTGGAGCTGCCTGGAAGAATTGGATGGCTCGGCGGCACTGGTGCACGGCACCGCACGCACCTCCTCTTGCGGAGGTTGCAAGGGGACGGGGTGCGTAGCAGCGTTGTTAAGGATATAGCGGTCGTTGCCGCTTATTTCACGCCTGACGCCTTATAACTGAGCACGAGCAATGGCTCGCTCAGCTGGCCGTCGTCGTCGATGCCTGTCGCCCCCATCCGGTTCTTGTGCTCAGGGACTTCAACGCCTGGTCGCGGAGATTTGGGGTTCCCGGCGGAAAACTGGGCTGAAAGATTTGGCCTAGTTATCCTAAACCGTGGGGCCGTGGCCATGTTCGTGACGGCGAGGGGCAGTTCTATCGTAGACATCTCGTTCGCGTGCCCCTCGCTAGCGCGATGGTTCAAGGGGTTGGCGCGTCGTTGTTGGGGAGGAGACAGGTTTGGATCACGTCTCCGCCCCTAGGAGTGACGCACGGGCCAGACCGACTCCACCCGAGCCACGTTGGGCGCTCAAGCGCTTAGATCGGGAGCTCCCCCTGGAAGCCGCTATCGTACAGGCGAGGTCTGGTCCCCAATTTCCGAGGTCTGGTTCCCAAGTCAAGTTGGTTGGAGCAGCGCGTGCACTGGCGCGGCTGCTGCCTAACATGAGGGGACCCGATAACTCCTTCAGGAGACTACTTGGGGGTTTTACCTTTTCTCCAAAAAAAGAAAATAATGTATTAAAGTCTTGACAGATCTTTAAATCAAAACTCATGTGTGTTCAGCAATCATAACGGCTACTTTTACCTCACGCGTGCGTTCTAATTAATTTATTAAAATCAAATCAGTTCGCGTATTGCAAACAAGAACGACGCGCGTGTCACTCATAGTTAGTTTTTTAAAAACATCTCATAATAGAAAATAGTTTTTTGTTGTGTTTAAAAGAAGTGCTTGAAACTAATTTCTATTAAAATGAACTAAGTAGACATTTTCCTTGTATATAAGATATTTTGCTCTTTAAATGTTTATCCTAAATAAAAACGAAAATTAACCGAACCGTTTTAATAATATAAAGAAATAGCACTTTTTGTTGAGTTACTGAGTGTAGTCAGTCTACGAGAATGAGTGGTGTTTGCGAACGAAATCATAGGAATAAAGTGTCAACGTTAGCTAAAATCCGAGAGCAAACTTGATTTCGGATATTTGATTACTGAAAGCAACTCAGGTTCACATCTGTTTGTTTTTTAATGAGGCATTTTTGTTCTCGATCGTTTGGCCTACGCGCTTACAAATATGAACACATAAATAAAATGCAACTTACATATCTTTGCCATCTAGATAATAATAGTCTGCAATCCTGCCTAGTATCACGTGTAAACAAACAAAAAATGGAAAAATTGTGTCAAGTTTTATAACAATTTTCCTCCAAAGTATTATCAATATAGCCTATTCATTTTATGCCGTACGCGTTTGAAATTTATTTTATTAGCATAACATATCGGGCCAGTCAGTCTCTATATGCGTGTGTCGTAACACTGTTAAAGAAAAAAAATACCCTTTTCTTGAAATGTGTAAATCGATAAGCAAAAGACCGTGACGACCAGTATAAAAAAAATTACAAGTTTTTTTTCAAGGTGCGGCTCCGGCTTCTATGTGAATTTAGACAGTTAAAGTTGTTCGTTATCGATTTATTTCTTGAAAACATTTTCAAGTTTCATCCTTCTGCATAGTAAATTCATATGTCATAATCGCTGGGCATTAAGGAAATTTAAGACTGTACATTTAACTTTCCTCCTTTGAAAAGTGGAGGAAAAAATTGAAAGGCATAAAAGAGGCCTAAGATTGATACCAAATCGTCTTTAATAACTGGTATAAAATATAAGTATCAAAAGATAGATTATTTACTAACGGTCTCAAAACAAAGGGAAGCATGGCAAAAAGACGATGCCCTTCCTTGTGTTATTCCGACACCTCTTTATTTATAATCCGCAATATGTTCGACTTCAGACGGAGGATAAGCCTTTTACTACGATGTTCTAGTTTTGTCACTAACCTATTTTAATCGCATTCACACAGCACTCGGTCAAGGTCTCTTTCCACCTGACTAGCTCTTCTAGTCATATCCCCCCCCCCAACTCGTAAACTTTGCTGGGTTCTAATAAACACAGTTTAACGTTCTGCCAAGGCGTACGAAAGTGAGTTGTTTTTAGATATTGTCGGAACAGTGGAACAGTATACAAGGGAAACATAGCATGTGTTTATAATTTTCTTCTAATTTTCATTTTGTTAAAGCTAAAATTTCTCTAAATTTTCTCTCTTTAACGATGTTAAACGTCACAAGGAGTGGCACCTTTAAGAGATTTTTAGTATCTCGAGTACGCTGTAATTTCTTTAATGATACTTTCCTACTGACCTGCGATGGGCACTACTGCGTTCCTAAGAATTTTAAAGTAAATTGACACAGCCAGTAGCTCCAACCTTCTACAATGAATACTCAGTATCTAATAGAAAAATACTTTTCAAAACTGCTGATTCTAGAGAATCGCGTTTACACGAACAAACAAAAAAGCTCACTCTTTACTATACGTAGTATAACTATAGATTTCTGATAATAGGGGTAAATTTTTAAAGAACCAACATTAGTTAAATACTCAGTTATTTAGGTAGCTAAATCTATCTGCCCTCACTCTATTCGTGAAAACCGGGACCGAATTTATTACGTCTGCAAGTACGAAGAGGCGATGCTTTATTAAAATAGTTTATTGCGTTATTTTTTTTCTTTTGTATTTTGTTAAAGGGAACAAAAATAAAACTGTATTTGCTGTAATGAATAGTGATACATGAAATAATCCTTCCATATTATAAAATAAAGTCCCCTGGCCGCGTCTGTCTGTATGAACGCGATTTTAAAAACTACTGGACGGATTTTTTGTACGGTTTTCATCAGTAGATAGTGTGATTCCTGAGAAAGTTTAAAGTGTATAATTCATGACGGTTTTACATAAATTGACTGAAATATAACGATTATTGTTGAAGAGGTATATACCGCGCGAAAAAACCATCACGTTTACCGAAATCCACGCGGAGCGGTGGAACATTATATTTAGGAATACGTACATATATTGTGCAGGGTCCAATAATATCTTTAACTTACTATGCGCATCGAAAATAATATTTTTCCGAATTTAATTCGTAAGATTACCTCTCAACGACTGCACCACTACACAGATAGAAATGAAAATCATTTCCTGATGACGAACGTTACTTGCATCGTATTTTCATAATACTAAAATGTCTGGCAAATCTTTACAGACATGTCTCATATAAATCTATGTCTTTTACATTTTACTTTGTTGACATTGACATTCTCATTTATTGTGGTTGCAAAATACATGATCCAAAAAATGAACTGAACTCATTGTTGTCCACAGTCACGTCAAGATACTCCCACGCCCACATGCCCTGCGGTAAGTCCGGCGCTGCCAGTCAGCTCCGTGACTACCATTCCAATCCCGAAGAAAGTGCCCAAACCGAAGAAGAAAATCAAGAAGGTCACTAAAATGAAGTCTTGTAGCAAAACTGAATGCAGCGTGTTCGAGTTGTATACCGAAGAGTGAGTTGACATTTGTTTAGTACACATTTAGTCTTGAAATCCATAGCTTATGCACCTCTGTCGCTTTTGTTTTCTCTAAACCTAACTACCAGTGACATGTTTAATTATTAGACATTTATGGCACAGAAGCATTACACCAATGGCATATAGCTAAGTGAACGAAGGCAGTAAGTAAGTAACCTTGACACAAGCGTTCTTTGAGATTTTGATTTTATTTCATAATCCTTTGTCGTCTGCTAAGAAAATGTATTTCTTATCAGACGACAAAGGATTATGAAATAAAATCAAAATCTCAAAGAACGCTTATCAAATCAAAGATATTCGCAATTATATTAAATTTATGATAACACTTAATATTGACGAAATTTAATCTTTACATGAGTTTGTCAAAGTTTAAAAAAATTATAGCAGATGTTTTGCAACATAATCTTTTGACATGACATTTTATTAAGTTCTGATTTACGAGCTTCTTAAAAGCTCTGTAAAGCTCAATTTTCAACACAGGCCATAGCAATGTCGTGTTCATATTATATATATGCCAGGTCAATGTTCTATTAGTAGGTATTTGTCATTATTCGTCGTCTACGCATATCGTGGTCACGTTTATGATTGACAACTAGCTAATTGCTTTTGTTGCTCCACTTTTGTAAGCAACAGAATGACTTACATTCAGTGGTTGGTGAATTGTTTCCTTTTACTACTTTAGTGCTTTCTTTAATGATAGTTTATCCTTTAAATACGATTATATTCATAATTCAAAACAATCTCCTATTCATTGGTGGAGCAAAAAAAAACAGGGTGAGTTACGATTTTATGTAGTATAGAATCTAATCTCAGCTAATTTTACGGAATGTTGTTTGACGTTTAGAACCACAATAAAAATGCTCAGACGATAGTGAAATAAAGTTGTGATAATAAACATTGAATTCCAATAGAGTGACGACAATACAGGCGTAGGTAACATAAAAAATGTACATTAATTAACACGATAAGTTTTTTAGCACACTTGCACTGATAATGTTAAATAATTATCAAATTTAACACATTACATCACTCCAAAAATAATAATTTAAACGATGATAAATTAATTTTGATAATGTATCAATTTCCGTATCTTGTACTCGTATCGGTTTAAAATGTAATGAGGGATTCAACAACATGATCCCTATCGGCTACCTGCATATGATTGAAGCAACGAAAATTAATATTTTTGTGTCTAACCTTTTGTTATAGGAATGAGCTTCACTGTATTAATAACCACATTTTTCTTAGTCTATTCCGATAAATAAATATGTATAATAGGTGTAGAACGATTACCTTAGTAGGACAGAATCAACTCACATGTGCTTATGTACATGCCAAATTATGGAAGGGATATGCAGTAGTTTATTAAACGAGGTAAAAAGAGAACTCTATGAATTATTAAGTAATTTGCCATTTTTTATTTTATTTAAAATGGTATACTTCCATTTAATCTTAAAAAAATTAATTCATTTTAATTCTTTACATTAATTTCACTTTTTTTCTCAGTCGTCGAGGCAGATCTCCGTCGCTCGAAGAGTGCTGGCAAATGGAAACAGACGCGGCTTTAGCAGCAATAGACAAATTAGAAAAGAGACCCTCTGTTCTCAAGAAAGAGAAAGAGAAGGAGAAAGTAATAGTAGAAGAAGAAAAAGTGATCGAGCAAACATCTGTCACCAACTTATCTAACAAATTAAACGGAGCAATCAATGTGACGCCAAAAAAGAATAATTCAAAAGGTATGTCTTTTTTTTCAATTACCTAATAATACATTAATTCAATAAAAAAAAAATCGGAGAGATTCGGTATATTTCGAACTCCATATTAAAAAGCGATGAATATACAATATAAGTATTTAATTATTATTACACTGTTATACAAAATTCATCACTGACCATTGTCTACAGAAAAAATTACGTTATCAGAAAAATCCAGCAAGGATCAATATGCATCTGTAGCAGCTTTGCACACCACAAACCCGTTCAGATCAACTCTGACACGTAAAGGTTTACTTCAATTGTAAAAACCCCGTTTACGTAATGCAAGTAGAAAGTCAGATAAAAATTGTGAAAAAGTAGAGTATTCACCTTAGCTTAGTATTATCTAGATGTTTAAGAAAGTAATGTAAAAATTTTTAAGTAATTGATGACAGAAAATAGGATATTCAGCTTGCAATATAGAAAGGGCCCTTAACGTAGAACCCCAGTTTATTATCATGTCTAAAGGCGTCCTACATCACGTAATTAGAATCCCAAACGCAAACCTCGACACGCTATGCGGTAATATCTTGAAAAAGCATAATGTAACTTTAACTTGTTTCCTTGTAAGTTTTATTAATGTGTGGTTTGCGTTTTTTCAAAGCTTTTAGTTCACTTTTTTTTAATCCATCCATCGTACCATTGTAGTACAGTTATTTTAAATTAGCTGGCATTTGTAGGCAGTTGTGTGCAAAACCCCATTACGTCATTTACTTCAGCTATTGAGTAGTGGTATAATGGTTGTTATAGCAGCAATAGGCGATATTTTGTTGGGTATTTGATTTATGTTTTTTTTTTAAATTTAAGTCTAAGTTACCGAAACTATTATCAACTATAAATTTGTAATTATGGATTACTAGCTTTTGCCCGTGTATGTTTGTTATCGCGGTAAAAAGTCCTGTCTTTCCTCGTGAATAAAGCTATCGCCATACAAAATTTTATCTAAATTAGTTAACGGTTATTGATACCCCATACAAAGATCCACCCCCTTAAACTTTAAGGGGGTGGAAGGTTAATTTTAAATTATCCTTTAAGGGCCTTAAAGGATAATTTCTGGGATAAAAACTATCCTATGTGCTTTCCCGGGACTCAAACTATCTCTATACCAAATTACATCTAAATTGGTTTTGCGGTTTAAGCGTGAAGAGGTAACAGACAGACACACTTTCGCAATTATAATATTAGTATGGATTAGTATGGATAAAAGTTTAAACAATTACATTGTAAGTTATACTGGTCATCAACATAAAATATATTGGATGTATCTCGGACTTATTCGATTAGTTTTTTCCTAGTCACTGATATTTATTTCCACAATTCATGTTTTTCTGTGTATTGTTTTCAGTTTAGAACTGTATAATTTAAATAATCTTTTAAAAATTAAAATTTTCAGAATCGCCAATAAGTCTGCCAGAATCGGTTACAAACTGTCTTCGGCCGTCCCTATTTCCTCGCGTGCCACCATACTTAAAGTTTGTAGGACCAGATGAAACACCCGTGCATAAGATACCTCTCCCCATACAGAAACATCTCAAGTGGAAACTGACTACTATCACGCCGATTGTCGTCAAGAGAACGCTGACCAACTCTGGTTTCAGATTGGTGAAGAGTGAGTGTGACACTGCTGAATGTCCACAGGAAGGTATGTACATTTATTTTTAGTTTTTTATTACTCAGCTATATGGATCTTGGACTCCGTTTGGTTATGTTATTCTAGAAAACAAACTGTGTGCTGAATTCACTCAAATTGGAATTACAGACACAAGTTTATTACGTTTATTACATTATTGTTTTATAACAAATTTGGCTAGTGAACTTAGTAGTCACAAATAGGCTGTCGATCTTTGAAATTATTATTATTTATTCCACCGATTGATTGTTTAATATGTGTTTCTAATTATAATTTACATGGATTTTTAAATAGTGTCATTTCAAACAAATATCATTGTTCTGTTTACAGAAACTATAGAATGGATAGGTATATGGGGTAAACACATGAAATCAATAATGTTCCGAGCCATAAAAGACGGACAGAAGATGAATCATTTCCCCGGCACATTTCAAATTGGCAGGAAAGACCGTCTATGGAGAAATTTACAAAAATTAGTCGCCAAACACGGACTCAATGAGTTCGGTATTATGCCTAAGACATACGTGTTACCGCATGATCTCAAGTTGCTGAAGCATGACTGGGAGAAGTATGCTGCTAACAATGAAAAATGGATTATAAAACCGGTAAATTGATATTTTTTACTTTGAATAAGGTTTTAGTATTTGCTAAAGTATTAAATACAGTTAACGCTTACGTTAAATATAACCCCGTATTCTTACATGATTGAATTTCAATTTTGGAAAAGCAACGCAATTATGGTCAGTAAAATAAGACATTCAAAAGATCGTAAACCGCTAGGCGATCTCTATTAAAATTTACTTCGTGTCCTGAGTAGTGTTTGGGTTGATTTATTGTGATAGTACACATTAATTAAATTTTGTTCGATCGATGTATGTACATGGTCAATGAAATAAAAAGAAATATTCCAAATGGTCGAAATGCAGAGTATTGTTAGGTTAATTTATTATGATGCTGATTAATTCAGTTTTGTTCGATCTATGTATTTACATAATAATATGTGCCTATAGAACTCAAGTCGATAAGGGGTGAATAAATTTAACGAACCTCACTAAAAAACATGTAAGATTCATATATTGTCTTTCTTTTGACCTTGTAGTGATGGCCTGTATAAATTTCTGATTGCTTTCATGTGGTCAGCTATTTCAAGCCGCATTTTAGTTCTAAACTTTGGTATGCTGGTGGTACTTTGGTATGGTAACCTGGGTTTGGATTTGATAAAAAGTCTATTAAAATTTTGATTACAACATATTAAAACTTTGGACGCTGTTGAAACGCTCATAATAATTAAAATTGATTATATTATGTAATTAGAGTCTGAGAAATTACTTTTAAAGTAAGTAGTAAGTTGAATAAAAAGGGAATAAATTAAATAATACTAATATGATAATTCTTTTGAATTGATTCGATCGACCTATATTAAATATAACATTTCTTTCCAGCCCGCTTCGGCCCGCGGCACAGGTATCAAAGTAGTGTCGAAATGGACACAGATACCCAAAAAGCGACCGGTCGTCGTCCAGCGGTATGTGTCGAAACCGTACCTAATCAACGGCAACAAGTTTGATCTCCGGCTGTACGTGCTAGTCACGTCCGTCCATCCCTTGAGGATATTTCTGTATAAGGATGGCCTCGCGAGGTTTGCTTCAGGTAACGATAATTTAAACAATTAGTACAAAAAATATAATGCTGGCCCTTTCAAAGAATTAAATTTGTATGGTACTCTTGGTCTAGTGATAAGTGATCTTGACTGCTGAGCCAGAGCATGTGGTTTCCTTCCCAACCCAAGACAAAATTGTGAATAATCATTTGATGAGTCTGGATGTAATTTATCTGTTTATCTAAGAACGTTTATCAGCAGTTTGAGGCCCAAGTGCGAGTTTATTTCACATTTATTCGATCGTCACGGTGACCGCGTTTGGCGCTGAGATTGGCCTGCACCCAAATCTTTACCAATCGCAAACGCCGAACGCGGTCATTGTCGAGGACGAGTTGATCTAAAATAAACTTGCTCTAGGCCCTCTCGTTAACTTAGCAAATACTGCTCAGTTTGGGAACAGATGCTGTGTTATAGGTAATCAAAATATCAAAAGATTAGACAATCATCAGTCATAGTTTTGCCACTAAGAATTGTACCAAAATCATTTATTAATATTCTGCATCCATCTGTTGCAATGCTGTATTAACTATTTGCAATTTTAAATATTTCAGTGAAGTACAACGACGAGCTTGGGTCATTGAACGATAGGTATATGCACTTAACAAACTACTCCATAAACAGACTGTCCAAGAATTACACGCCAAACGAAGATTTCGCGGCCTGTGAGGGACATAAATGGTACGTTTTTAACATGCTTCTATTATTAGCTTTATTACAGCTTATCTCACATCATTCTGACAGCTTATCATAAAAACTCTGACCAATCCAATATTGTTCCATTTATAATTCCAGGACACTACAAACTCTATTCCAATATCTAAAGACTGAAAAGAATGTAAACACAGAGGAGCTGTGGGAGTCCATGAAGGATTTAGTCATAAAAACAATAATAGCGGGCGAAGCTAGCATCAGCTCACTGACAAAAGCTAATATAACGTCCCGGTATAACTGCTACGAGTTGTTTGGGATAGATGTATTATTGGATGAGGACTTGAAGCCATGGCTTTTGGAGGTAACTAATTTGCATCATCTTCTGTTATTGTTCTACCTATAAAATGTCATCTAAACACTGCACTGTATGATATTTTTAGCATTCGTGACACTGATTTATTCATTTACCAAATATTTCTAAGCTATGTTCATTTTATTTAGCTACTTTATGTTTCTACAAATATTGAGAAATGACTATACCACTCGACGCATTAAGGAATCCTGGAAATAGCATATATTGAAATGATAATTAGATTTATTTAATCATACACGTAACATGGGGTTGAAATTTGCATCATTTTTTTCCATTATGTGTAAGTGACTATATCACAGTGACAGTAGAGTTAATATACTTAAATGGCTTTTAATTGTTTTATTATAGTTCTATTCTCAACACAACATATTCGCGTCAGCAATTAGTATGAGAAAACAGCTGTGCATCAGCCAGCCATCGACGTAAGATTACTGTAGCTGTTCTGCTTGTGTGTTTAGGTAAACATATCGCCGAGTTTGCACAGCGCGTCGCCTCTGGATATCCACGTGAAAGGACCGCTAGTGTCGACAGTGCTGAACATTGCCCAGTTCCAGGTGCCGGTCAAAACGAATCTCGAAATGCTATCCAAGGACAGGCCACACAAACTGGTAAACATGGGTTTTACCTTATAACGCTTGTATAATTTACTACTTAGAACTTTTGACAATCAACAAACTGCTAATTAGGAGTATTAAATAGGAAGGTGTACTTGCCAGTTAAAAATCTTGATTACAAAAGCTGAGCTGAGCTTTCTCAATTTTACAAAACCTAGATAATTGTTTTTTAATATAGTTATATTTATTTGGCTTTCAGGCTGGATTGCCTTACGATAGCCGATTATATACAGTCTACCTCTCCAAAGAGGAACGGGATAAGCACATTATATATACAAACATGGAAGATAGAGATATGGTAAGGATTTTTTAATATATTTTTTTGCTGAGTAATCAGCCAGTTTATGAATCTTAGTTACCAAGCAGTCTTCCTGTCCACAGTATCTTCGTGACATCCTTTCAACGTTAACAGCAGACGATGTGCGACACTTAATCCAGGCAGAAGATGAACTGACTCAAGTGGGCGATATGGAGCGCGTGTTCCCAACCCCCAATTCTTACAAGTACCTCTCGTTCCTCACCGGGCCGAGGTACTACAATCGGTTGTTCGACGCTTGGGAGGCTAGATATGGGCGTAACAGAGATCCTGGTAAACACTTGATGATTTAATTATATTAATTTTAGAGTGATGTTTTTGATGTCTATCCATGTGGTGACGGATTAAGAATACGGAATGTCACCACCCCTATTCATCCCGTGGGTGTCGTAAGAGCCGACTAAGGGAACAAACTGCAACGGACAACAGCACTGCAAAAAGAAGAAAAACTTAAAAAAAAACACTATACCAACCCGTCACCCGCCAGCGTGGTATAGTAGGCTGTTGATGATGTTAATGAAGAGTGATGTTTTTAGGCATGTAAATGTGTTAGAATTACTATGTTTTTTCTTTTTAACGCAAAAAATAGATGGATTTGACTGCACGAATTGCGTAGTGGTTGTTCCATGTGAGGATCGAACCCCACAATATTCAGCGCACTAGAAAGCGACAACGAGTCGCGTTGTCGCTTTCTAGTGCGCTGAATAACACTGTGTGATCGACAAATTCTGGGTCGGAGTGTTCTTTGTGTCCGTTTCATGAATGTTTATAAAGTCCCCTGCGACACAGGATATATTCCTAGGGCGGGAGTTGTTTTGTATCTTGTTATTATTATTAGAAAGAAAAGAAAAAAAGATTGAATTAATTTAGCGAGCGAATAGTATATATGCTAGAATAAAGTCTGGGACAAAAGTTTCTAATAACATATTTAAAGCGATTAAAGAAAATATAGCCGTAAGAGCCAACTAAGGGAGCTATAGTTAAACCGCCGTAAGCTTGGCCCTCCTGATGGTTTGGGGGACGCGGGGCGGGGGTGCATTGAACCAATTAGCTAGTGCGTCGCTGTCCGCCGGCAGTGACTGACGTGAAAGCATGGCTGTACGTGTTATTTTTTTTAAGACTGCTACACACGGTATTATTTTGCAACACGGATAATCTGCCGACTCTGCGTCACAAAAAGATTTAAAAACTTGAACTTCGGCTTACAGAGGTTCTACTGTTAAAGTTCTAATAAAGAATATTTATTATTTTACTTAATTTTTAAATTGTATCTGAATATAATTTACATGATGAAGATAAGGTGATTTTATTAAAATTATTTTACAGTATTAAATTTTAAAATTAATCATAAAAACTTACAATACACTGACATGATAATACATGGAAATAAATTCGATTTTTATTACATCGTGTGTAGATTAAATCTCAAACAAATAAATCTGAAGATATCGAGTTAGTACATCGTGTCATGTATAGCCGAGCGCATCACCCGCCCCGCGTCCCGCAATCCATGAGGAGGGCCAAGCTTACGGCGGTTTAACTGTAACTACGCAAACCAACAGCACTGCAAAGAGAAGGAAAACTTGACACAAACCCTATACCAACCCGTCTGGCAAGCGTGGTATAGTAGGCCAAAACCTCTTTTCTAAGGAGAGGCCTATGTCCAGCAGTGAACTATTAAAGATTATGAAAAAAATATGCCTTGTATCATAGTTACAATAACTGAGTTATAAATAAATAATTCCGGTACAACGACAAATCTTATATAAGTTCATCTTTATGAGCTATTCTTATGCGCGACAACAACAGACTCAACTTTTCACTGTCATTTACAGGTATCGAGCTCCTTCGAACGTTATGTGAAATTGGCTATCACCTCGAAGTACCGCCCGTGCCATTGAAGGTAACTGTCACTGCGCGTGTAGTGGCCTCCCTAGTCAAGGTCAAAGCCAAAGCACTTCACATGATTCTCGCTTTCATTTCACTTGTACTCACTCTAATTACTTTATGGTGATGGTATTTTTTGCCCAAAGGGCCCCACACATTAGTAGTTCTTATTTCACTTTATTTACTCTATGGTGATGGGTGGAGATGGACCACAGTTCAGAGGGCCTAGTGTGAGTTTGTTTTATATCTACTCTATCGTCACGATGACCGCGTTTGACGTTGCGATTGGTACAGAGTTCAGTGCTCACACTAAGCCCTAGTGGTTACAGCTTACACAATACTCTCTTACTTTTCACTTAATGAAAACTATGATGAAGAATTAGACACATTTTATTATGAAACATTATGTAAGAATATAATGTTTAATTTGTGGTGGAGAGTAATTTACATTCTAAAAACTCCTCTATGAGGTCCCAAGGTCTTTAACAAAACACTCATCTTACATATTCTCTCTACACTCTGTTAGGATTAGTTAATTTAATAATTTAATTTAATGAGTTATATGTGATTAGTTAATTTAATTTAATTATGTGTTGATATTTGGGTGTTCATGATTTTGAAAGTTAATAATAACGTACCCCCTAATGCCATATGCATCATGTTATATTATTATATATATCTGTACACAACAGACAAAATAAGTTTGTGTATGTATATGTTTTGTATTCCCTTTATATATATGTATATACTTAAAACCAACATATTCATGTATATTTATATAATCCATAAATACATTAGATATATAAGATATATTGAGCGAGGTCACTGCCATTTATATTAGGAGATTTAGAATATAGGAAGTTAGTGTCAAAAATGTTGTCAATTGCAGGCAAAGCCTGGAGTTAGTGTGGTGAGAATATTTTTATGTTAAGCATGAGTTTTAAACTATTCTAGTCTTATTAAGTTATTCGTATATAATAAAAATAGGAATAAATAATGCTAAGAAAGTAAAAACTTCCAACAAACAAGTCATTATTATTAGGTAGGTACCGTATTGGTCTTGTATTTCGTATTTGAATGCCTCATGGTTAAAAGTAAACGAAAGAAACTTAAAATCGATAAAATAATTAACGTAAAACTCATTGATCATTGTGCGGTTCTTTTTTATTTCGTTTAGCACAGTTTACGATTCTGAAAAAAGCATCATTTAAAAATAAATAGTTTGTGCTAATATCATAGTAATAACACTGTGAAATTAATAAGGTGATAAGAATTATAAAAACCCAGTAATCCTTTTATACTAACTGACTACTTGATAAAAGGTGTAGATTTATGGTAAGATTCATATCAATTATTCATTCGCTTTCTTTTAAGAGCTTCTAATTTTCTGTTTAAATTATTCTCTTCTGTAAATAAATTAAAAGTTTACTTCAGAATCGTAACGTGTCAGTAGTTTGTTTATTTGGTTTTCATTGGTGTTTAATGTTCGGAGACTATTTTTATTACAACCACAAATTTGACGCAAAATTATGTTTACGAAGTTCTTTCTATTTGTATGCATTTTTTAATCTTTTTTCATCAGTCATAATTATTTAATGCATTGATTTTACTGACAATATTTAGCATTTTTTAATATTAAAATGTCATATATGGATGATTATCAGGGCAAAGTGACAAATGCGCTCAGGCGAGCGTACTTGGGTTGTAAGAGCATCGCTCACAGTAAGTGTGTAGTTCTAAAAACGAGGGAAATGTACCAAAATAGTGTGGCTACCGGATATCGGAACTCCCTGAAATAGTGTTGTAACCTCGTTGGTCCGAACAAGGATGCTATAGACAATATAGATTATAGTATTGTTCTCTCTATAAATATGTGGTGCTAGAAGGTTTTATGCAAGTATTTGCTATGGAAATAGAGCTAGTTTTTTCTTATTAATGTGTAAGGGAGTTAATTTAAATGTTGATGTTGTTAAATGTTTCATTAATTAAAATTTATTAGCGTAGAAAAATGTTCTCAAGAAATACAGTTACGTAAAACGAGTATAAATGTGTGAGTCGCATGAAACCGATGATTTTAGTTTACTTGTATTAGCAGATTTTTTCAATAACTGTTGGTGCGTTTAAAAATATGCAAAATTTATAAAAATAGGTGAAATAAAACTAACATGTAGGTAGATAGTTATAATTGATGCTAAAAATAGTTTAATACTTCTCTATGATTTTATATAGGTTTGTACTTCGTAATGACAGGTATTTGTGAGATATAATCTCTTATATGTAATTAGTACTATATTGTTATGTAGAAGCATTTAGTAGGTCCCGACATTAAGGAATTTATAGTGAGATATGTAGAAATATCATTGTAAAAATCACGTGTATGTAGATACAACATTATTAATAAGTAGTGACAGCCGCATATAAAAGAATTTGAGTCTAATTACTACCATTTGTTGGGTTAGGTCGCTACATTTGCTATATGTATTACTATTATGTTGAGTATATATACAATTTTATTTAGTTTTCAATTTCTTTTTACCAGGTTTAAGGTTTAGTAGGTTACTTACTAACAAACTATTGTCAATATTTTTTTTATAGTTACAACACTAAAATAAATTTTTTTCTCATTATCCAAGTCACTATTAAGCCTCCCATTATCAAACCTTTGAAACCAGAAATTATTTGGCATAAAAGATGCTTAGAGACAAATACCACATAAACAAAGTTTTATTAATTAGTTGTAAAAACATTTTAAAAACAACCGCCATGCCACTGCAAAACTCGCAATTTTATAAAAGATTTGATAGTAGTTTGTTAGTATGTTTTATTTCACAATTATGTATGTTATTCCATAGTTATTCCTATATGTAACTGTAATATACATACATCAGACAAATCATTTAATTACATTTAATAATATAATCCATAAAGTACTTACGTAACAAAAATGTATAAAATAAATTTATTTAGATTTATATGTTCCTTTATATGTATATATTCATATAACGCTACCTTAAATTCAACTACTTAACACACTGCACTTTTCATCAATAATTGCATGAACTGCTATTATCTGAAGTCATTTTTGCTTTCAGCTTTGACTAGTACTACTTACTAACATTTATATATTTTACCTATGCACACACACAGACAAGATACTAATACTTACTAGTATCTTGTTCAACGACAAAGTTGTGCCCTAGAAGTAAAAAGAGGGCAGTAGGAAATAAAATATAATTAATTATTTATTAATTAATTATTAATTAATAAAAAAAAATATTTTTTTCATTTTGTGCTATTTGGCACTATATTTATTGCTATATCAGGCACGACTTTGTGTGGATTTCAATCACTCATTTTGATATTAGTTAATTTTCTCTATTTATAAAGTGTCAAATGAAGATTATTTTATGAATAGTTTATTATTTCAAGGTTGCTAATAACGTCTATGGTTTGGTGTATCAGGAAATGTTTTCTAGTCGCAAATTACAAAAGAGTAATATCATATTGTCCTTTTCTGTTCCTAATGAAGTTTATGGAGTATTATGATATTGAATCATGAGTAACTAGACGGAAACTATACTTAGGTGTTCTCCCTTGCTTAAATCCTATTTTAACATTAGCACGCTTATATTTTTCTTACGGGCATCGCCTAAGCACCACTCGCTAATAACAGTGCTGTGATATTTTAAATCCATATCTTCAATCTATATATTTGGTTAGGGTTAGACAGTTATTAACTAGGTTGTATTAAAGGTGATGAGACTTCCATGGCAACATAGATGTCCTCTCTGCTATATAAACATTAGAAATGTTTATTAAACTGTTTTTTAAAAATATTTTTATATAGTAACAGTAGACATATATAATAGAGGACATAAACACGTTCCAGTGAAAACAAATAATTAAATTGCTCGAAACCCAGATTATACTGTTACTTTCAACTAAATGTCAATAGCTCAATAATTATATGATCTAAGAAAATAACATAATATAGTATTTTCTATAAATATTATCACGAGATTCGCGTATGGCGCGCATACGAAGCGGACGTGTTACTGTGTATTTTAAATTGTTTTCAGTTCTCGCATCTTCAAAAATCCTCCCTGTCAGATTAATCACAAAGTTGTTATCAGTGTATACAGTATAAGTGACATTTGACGTTGTACTCCTGCGCATCCAGTGTCTCTGCCCACCTGTGAGAAAAAGACGATCGCTATTATTTTGGCCCGCTCACGCACGGCTACTCACCTCATTCAAGAGAACCAGTGATATCTAGTAAGTAAAACACAGATCAATATGACACAACGATCGCCACCTGGAAGCGGCATTGGACGTAGCGGCTCATATCCAGAACTAACCAAAAAGGATAAAATAGCTGAACCATCTGATGCGACACAAATTACTCTTCGCAATAAGCGGAAATTTGTTAATGGAAATGATGAGCTGAAGCTAGAATTCACAGATATGAAGACTCAATTTACAGAGATGAGAAAACAGATGACTGATCTACAGAATCAAATGAGTGAAATGATGGCGTGTCTGATATCTAATAACAATAAACAGGTTGAAAACTTTAATAAATTATGCGATAAAATCTCAGCGGTCAAAGAACAAGTGAATGATATTCAACATACCACTAACCGCGTGGCGGAAGAACAGAATAACCTTAAATTGGAAATAGCATGCATTAAAAATTTAAATAGTATTACAGAAAATAAAGTCGCACTCTTAGAGACTACTTTGCAACAAATAATGTCAAAAACCCCAAATACATCCTCCTCTCCATTACATTTGCAAGAAGAAATATTAAATGAGATTAACGAGCGTAATACGAGATGCAAGAATATTATTTTGTATGGTATCAATGAACCGAACTCAAAAAAGCCAGAAGAAAGACAGGAATATGACAAAACTGCAGTTATTAATACACTAAAGACCATACTTTCTGACTGTCCAGCACCAATAAGAATCCTACGTCTAGGGAAATATAATCCTGACAAGAGTCGGCTTATTAAGGTTTGTTTTGCAACTGAAGAGACAACTAAATGCTTATTGAAAAACAAACAAAGGTGTAAAATAGACAAAGTTAGACTGTTCTCTGACCAGACACCGCAGCAACAAGCATACATGAAAACACTCAAAGAGGAGCTTGAGCACCGCAAAAGCTGTGGTGAAACTGATCTTATTATTAAATACATAAAAGGTTTACCCAAAATAGTTCAAGCAACTCCAAAAAACTCAACCCCCAAGATAATTTAGAAACGTATTATCGAATCACTAGTAGCTACACTAATGTAATAACAAGCAAAAAGTCTTTGAAGTGTTTCTATGCAAATATACGAAGCATTGGTAAACCTGGAAAATTCGATCAGCTTATGTGTATCATCCAAACTTTTTCTGCTACACTCCATATTATAATCCTTTGTGAAACATGGATAACCTCTGAAGACGAAGCCAAAAAATTTCAGCTGCCAGGGTATACACACTACTATAATTTTCGGCAAAATAGCAGAGGAGGAGGTGTCTCAATATTTGCTCACAATAGTCTCAAACACAATTTATTAGACGAAAAATCAGTCGATGATAACCATTACCTATGGATCCACATTAATAAATTCTCCCTAGATATAGGAGCAATATATAAGCCAGGCCGCACAAGCGATAAAAACTTTTTAGATTTCTACTCAAATCAACTTGAAAAAAGAAAGAGAGCGCTAGTGTTTGGGGATTTTAATTATGATCTACTAAGCTCAGATAGATCTATCAAAAAGTACAAAGAAACTATTAAAGAAAATGGTTACTACATAATTAATAAAATAGACAAACAACATTCTACACGTGAAACAAACTCGACAAATACTATTTTGGACCATGTAAGTACAAATATAAAACAACAACAAGTTAACCTAACAATAATCGAATCAGATATGTCAGATCACAAGCAAATATACATCGAGATACATAACTATAAACCACAACGGATAAAGACAATTGCCTACGAAACTACAAACTACAAAACCTTATATAATATGTGTAGAAAACTCAATGAAACGAATGTGACTGATGATTACAATAAATTGGAACAAAATTTGATATTAAGTGTGAAAGAAAGCAAAACTAAAAAATTCAGAAAAACTTTTCCACCGAAGCAACAATGGATAAAACAAAATATTATAGATGCTATAGATAGAAAGAACACCTTATGGCGCAAGTACAAAATGAATCCTAGTGACAAAGTAATGGAAGAAAACTATTTCAGGGCAAGAACAACCGTAAGACAAACTATTCAAAAAGCGAAATCTGAATATTATTACAAGGCTTTTACAGATTGTCACAATAAGCCTAAGAAGCTATAGTCACTAATAAACCATCTCTGTCATAATAACAAAAAGGAAGAACCAACAATAGCTAGACTGGAGACACAAACAAACACAATTAACGATGCACAAGCAATATGCGAATACCTTAATGTATTCTTTTCTACCATTGGAGAAACCTTGGCTAAAGCAATACCTAGTAACTTTCATATGAATAGTACATTCACTGATGGAAAATCTGCGACTAAATTGAATGTAACGAAGCTATCAGAATTCAAACCAGCTACCGTAAGTGAAGTCGACAGAATTATTGACAACCTCAATTGTAACACTGCTACGGGCGTGGACGGAATCGGCACGAAAACAATTTTATGTGTAAAACCTCTAATTATTGAAAACTTGACCAAATGTATAAACACATGTCTTAAACAAGGTAAATTTCCTAGTAGTCTAAAAATTGCCAAAGTTACCCCAATACATAAATCAGGTAGTAAATCTAATCCTAGTAACTATAGGCCCATATCGGTACTACCTGTTATATCGAAAATTTTTGAAAAGATTTTCTACAACCGTCTCGAAAAGTTCTTAAATACAAATCAAATTCTCTCAAACAACCAATATGGATTTAGATCAAAATCTAACACACTATCTGCTACAATAGACTTAATAACCAAAATTAAACTAAATATAGACCAAAAACATATAGGGCTAGGCATATTTATAGACTTGAAAAAAGCATTTGATACTGTAAGTCATTCAATTCTTTTGAATAAACTATCTGACATAGGTATAACTGGCTCTGCGCATAGCATCTTTAAATCTTACCTTTCAAATCGTAGCCAGATAGTTAAAATTGGTTATCACGAAAGTCAACCCAAGTCTGTTACGTACGGCGTTCCTCAGGGATCAATATTAGGGCCTTTGTTATTCCTTATTTACATCAATGACATACATGATTTGAGTCTTAAAGGTGATGTTACGTTATATGCCGACGATACTGGTTTATTTTACTTTGACCACTCAATAGATACAGTCATATCCAATGCCCAAGATGATCTTAATTTACTCAACAAATGGTTTCAATACAACCTACTAACCATAAACATCTCAAAAACAAATTACATGCTGTTTAAGGCTAAAAATAAGAAAATCTCAGACTATCCTTCCCTTAAAATAGACAACCAAAGTATCAATCAAACAAATAGCGAAAAATATCTTGGGCTAATTATTGATAGCAACCTTACATGGCAAAGTCACATAGAAAAACTTAAATCCAAACTATCATCTCTCACTGGAATCTTAAGACCCATCTCACGATGTCTGCCACGTAAAGTGCGTTACTTTATATATAACTCTCTGGTAAAGTCCCATATTGATTATTTAATAGAGATTTGGGGCACATCTTCCAAAACTAACTTAAACTTACTACAAAGAGCCCAAAATAGGCTAATAAAGGTCCTTTTTCACTTTGATTATCTAACGCCTACGGAAATAGTGTATAGAAACACAAAAATACTAAATCTAACCCAGACTTACGTATACTATACCTGTTTATTGGTGCGTAAAGTATTGGGCGGCGATATCCATACACAAATAAGTTTCACCATAAAAAGAGACGTTCAAAAGACTCAATTAAGAAGTGCTAATAATATAGTTTTGAAACCACCGCGCACCAACTATGGCAAAAAGAATCTCATGTATGAAGGCGCGCAGTTATATAACAGGCTTCCTAAAGATATTAAGGAATCGCGATCCATCGCTTCTTTCAAAAAAATGCTTAAAGATCATGTAATTAAAAACTACAAGTAATTACTAAAAGTATGAATCTTAATATTAATCAGACAAACAAGCTATTAAGCTAAATAAATATAGAATAAAGTGAAACACACTTAAAAATAATTTTCATCTTACAAATATTGATGACAAAAATTAAAATATCGTTTCCAGTGAGGCGCACTAAAATCTTACATCTTTGTAGTGTGATGTTCACTCCGTCTACGCTCGAAGTTAGTGTAGGTAACCGTCAAAAACATTATTATTTTGATACCGCTTTTATGTGTGCTCACAAATAAAATATGTTGTGTATTAGTATTATGTTCTCATGTTAAGTGAATTGTATCATAATTCTTAATGAGAATAAATAATTTTAAACCAAATAATTGCAATGCTAGTCCTAATTGGAATAAATGTTAAGTGTTTACATTAGTGAAAAATAATAATACGTCAATGTAACAGAATATGAAATCTTATAATCTAATCTCTTTATAGATGAATGACCGCAAGATACCTTGTGTACGTCGAAAACAATTTTTCTTTGCAATGAATGATGATTGAATGCAGTTTTACACAGCTAATGCAATGAGAACCCTGATACAGAACTTAAATTGCAATTTAAAATTAAAAAATTAAGCGTATTAAAGTGTTAATTATGATTATTTTTCTTTATTTTAAAGTAGCCGTGTGGTCTGGGCTTCGATAGCGTCGGTTAATTAGAGATATTGGTTATAACTAGTTTTCTATAGTTCAGCACTGATGCCGATCGTATCGACACGGATTCGAGCTATTGGTCGTTGGATGAGAAACGAGAATATGCCATCGAAACAGAATGCTTTTTGACGTATTGACTTAGGTATATGGATTTAAAATATATATTCACCGTAAAAGCCTAAATATCGCCTTATCCATCCAAGCTTTCTGGTTTTAGAAATACCTTGCGTTAACAAGCCATTAATCATCCTTTACTAACCATCCAAGTACTGTAAGAATATTAGTTACTTTAGAACATCAAACACGTTGTAAATCAATTTAGTCAAAATATATGTAATACTTTGTTGCCATGATTTTTTGTTCCATAGTCACATTTAGTTCAGTACCATAAACAGCACAGTATATGTGACGCCAACAGACGTCTGTCGACTATTTCTATAAGCTCTTAGTGTCAGTTGATCGCAGCGGTCTATAATATTATCTAAAGAATGCATTTCTGCCAATAAGTTACTGTTATGGAATACGTTGCGATTACTCGTCCGCTGTTTACTGCGTGCGTTGATCGATACAACCATTTTACCGCCTACCCCAGTCGACCGGCGTATGTGACGTCACATCATGCGAGTGAGTAACGGTGCCCCCCCCCCCCTCCCTTTCCCGTCCCGTCCTGCCCGCCCTGGTGTTGTAGCTGGCGGCTGGTGTGCTGAGCGCGTTGGATGGTTGCAGAATGACGTGGACGCGCCGTCCGTGGCGCCGTCGGAGCGGCCCTCAGTGGTGTCCATCACGTCGCTGGAGCAGCCATGCGCGTGCGCCAGCGCCGCCGCGATCGCGGGGCTCGTGTCGAGCGAGGGGCTCGCGGGGCTCGCCGGCCTCCCGCTCCCGCTGCAGCCCCGCGCCTAGCGCCGCGCCCCCCGCGCCGCAAGCCCTCCATCGACCTCAACGAGAACTGCTGCGCGGCGCGATCCTGATTATGCTCGACTGCGTCAGTCGCTGATCAAACACGTCGACACGGACTTATTCGATGAACGCTTGTTGTCGGTGCCTTGTTCGGTTTGGGCGAGTGACCGGGTAGGGTGCGTTCTTCGTTCGCGGCTCAGCGGTCTCTACGATACTGAAGTTGTCGACTAGTACGATGTCAGTACCCCAGCTCTATCCCTGCATTTTTGATTCGATATCACTCACCGCTTCCTGATCATATTTCAATTTAAAAATGGTTTAAAAAAACCTTGTAATTTTTATTGAAACGTAAAAAAATTAGTAAAACATTGTAAACGAACATTAAGACGGGAGTGATACGGAATTGGTGTCCAAAATTTTTGAAATCCAAACTGATGTAGGTGCGAGTTATTACGTAAGTCGTTTTAAGATAGGTCTATTAGTTAAAATACAATGTTATACAAAAAAAAACTGTGCATGAAACAAATTTTAAAATGTAGGAAATGTAACTCTATAACGTGTTTCTTTTAGGTGTTTGAAATAAGATTTCTGAAGGCGCCATTCTTAATCTGAAATTTGAGTAAATGCAATCTATCCTCAAACTTGATGTTAGTAGCAGTTATGTGGATATATGTACCGTTTTAATAAAATTGACTTCTGATCCAGTCTGATTTTAAATACTAGCTTTCAGAAACTTCTTTTTTAGTCATTATGTCGAGACTGATGGAAATCTTAGTATTAATATTTTGATTTTATTGTAGAAATTAAATATGTAAATTCTGTCAGTCTAAAACATACTGATAAACTTATAAAAAGGAAAAATACAGAAACATTATAGAACAATAAACAGAAAACTGACTATAACTATTGTTACTATGATTACTAGCGTGTATATAGTTAATAATAAAAATGTAATTTCAATTTCAAGTTAAACGAAAACTCGAGATTCTAAACGTAATGATATAGGTTATTTTAAAATTACAATGTGTTCATTGTTCACCTAGAGTTTGCTAGAGTAGTTCGTTCCTGTAAGCTCGACGGTCACTGTCAGCTTCGAGTGTTCAGTGTTGATGAATCGATTAAATTGTGATGTATATAATCTATATTGAATCATCGATTCCCGGGTAGCATCCACATAACGTCTCCATTCCTTAATTAATTAAGAAAAAAAGGAGATGAATTAAGAAATCATTCTTGTATAAATGTTTAGACCATCGTAAAATGTCTCCAATTATTTACAAAATAATTAATGATAATTAATAAATTATTTTCAGTGTAACAAATAAATCAGTTGACACTTACACTATTTTGATTGAGATTACCCTTCAACTGTATTTTTATTGTTTTATCCTTACTGACACAAACATTTTTTTTTATTGTATTGATTTTTTACTGAAATTTGTACTTCTCAGGCAATACAAGCAATGTGAAATTGTTTTTATTTTGTTCTTTTATTTTTTTTGGTTTTGTTTATTTTATACGTCAATCTAAACACAAGTGTAAAATAATGACGACTGAATGGTGTAGTGGTTTGTGTAACGGACTGCTATTCCAAAGGTCGCGGGTTCGATTCCCGCTCAGGTCAAACATTTGTGTGCATATGAACATTTGATGTTTGATTTGGTCTGGGTGTTTCTATGTATAATATGTATGTATTTACAAAAAAAAAGTATATATATGTATTTATATCAGTTGTCTAGTACCCATAGTACAAGCTCTGCTTAGTTTGGGACTAGATGGCGTTGTGTGTATGTGGTAGAATATATTATTATATTATATTATTAATGAATATATCCCATATAAAAAGGATGTGTCATCACCTAATAACAAACTGGCGTCTTGAAGTTATCGGTAGGTCAAGTGGAATGTACCCTTAAAGGTCGTAGCTCATTTGAGCCACCCGGCACCCGACCAGCACCGCCTCGCCTCGAGTGGTTAGTATTCTCTGTATGGAGTACGCTCGGGCTATGGGTACGCTCACTACATGAACTCCGGAACGCCTCGCCCGCGGGTTGTCCACGCGCGCGGTGGGCCTTGGTGACCGCGCGAGGACGATGCATCGGCGGCACACCGCTCCCCCTCGACCATGACTGTCGTATCGTTTTCTGGTTAACAACGCGGCGTCCACCCGTTGACCACCCCGTCGAAAACGAGTGACGAGGTGGTGCTGGTTGGGTGTCGAGTGGGTTTAACGAGCTAACCTTAATGAGGGTTTAATCGGATAACCTTTATCGTGGTTACAAAACTATTACAACAGACACCTAAGTCAATTCTCTACATTTAATTGTATGTGCGGGTACGCAATTTTGTTTGCATGGCATTGGACTGAAAAGAAATAAGAGATCACAGAGTTATGTTATGTTTACTTTTACGTAAGTATTGTCAAAAGTTGTTTAATGTTGGTAGTGGAATATCGAATACTGTATAACGCTTTATACCTATATTTAGGTATTGTAACAATTTCGATTTAACTTATTGAACGATTTAAAAAAAGGAAACCAGAGTAAACAAAAGAAAATAATTTTTGGGAGTTCGAAAAGTTGAATACTGTAAAAAAAAGACTTCAAAAAGTTGGAGATGCCGGGGATCGAACCCGGGGCCTTTCACATGCAAAGCGAACGCTCTACCACTGAGCTACATCCCCTGCGTTCAGTAGAAGTGAAATTGGCCTATGATTGTCAACAATAAGAAATAAGACCTGAGGTACTAAAAGATTTTTCCTACTTTGTGCCCACTTTTTATTGAGCGACGCAGTGCTACCGAAATCGGCTTAAGGCTACACTTTATTGTTACCGATTTGTTCTCGTTTATCACAGCGACAGATACTTTCCAGTTTGGACAGTTCCTTCTAGCTACTTCTTTTTGTTCTTCGGAAATGCTACGTGAGATGGTGATCATACACTTAAATACAAAACAATGAACATGCCTTAAACCAAAGCACATTAGTTTCAGGTTTCACAGCCTTTTTAAGCTTCTTAGTGTACAACATTAACTAATGACACTTCATGGCTGAGACTAAGGCGCACTGTTTGATATTTATTGTGTTATACGAGTGCTTCTTTCGTGTGTCATGTGAGGGCAACTTGTTCGATTCTGTTGTGTGTTACATATCATACAAAAATCTGGAAAACTTAATTGCTATTATACCATGAGTTGTATAAAAATCTCAATAGATTTTTGTTCAAAACCATTACTTAACGTTCTATAGTTATTAAGGAAAATATAGGCAGTTTCTTGCAAATGGCTGTAATGATAAATTCTTATCATCCTTCGCATGTAAATGCAATTTTATCCAACTTGTCAGGCTCATCTACAATGCGTTAGGTTGTCTTCGACTTTTTACCCATGTAATTAATAGTTGTCTTTATGAGTATTCGTAATATGATCATTTCTAGTTCAATAACAAACTTGAAGATAGTTCTTTAGGTATAGGCAACTATTTATTCCTAGTAGGTGGTGACAGAAAACCTCACTTGACGGTGATAGAGTTTGTAGATAGTAGCATTAGCCTGTTTGTGGCTATAAGCTGTAGAAACTAAGTATCTTCAATATTCACTTGCGTTTATAATCAACATTAAAAAATGAAGGACTAGGACTGTGGTATCTGGTCTACGCCTGTTCAAAGAGTTATGAATGGCATTTTCAAGCATTTTAAAACTAATTTCATCTTAATAAATAATTTGATTGTATCACTTTGGTGGCTTAAAGAAAGTCCATATATTTCTTCGCGCTATATTATTTGTCTAAAAATATTATTTTAAATATCGAGTCCTGCAACATTCATAGGATATCGGGACAAATCCAATAAATCCGGAATAAAACCTTATCTAAAATTTATTTACAATTTATTTTATTGTCGTTTTTAAATAAGTGCTGTCGTTTTGATACCTACGTAGAATTCGTTCTTTTTACCCAAGGATCAAATGGAATTGTTGGCCTACGTTTACAGAATGCTTCTCAAAGATAACGAACCAACTGCTACGAAATTCGTCAAAAACCTGGTTTGCTATAATCTGTATTTATAGAGTCTATAAAATTGGCTGTGTTTGTGCACTCGTATTCACATAACTACTTTCAAAACTTGTTCAGTCAGTAAAAATCCTTGAGATAAATTCTGTAGATAATCCAGTACTAAGTATATTACCTTATAAGAATTAAGAAATTAAAGCTTGAACTCGGTGCTATGGACAAGTCCTGGATAGGTACCAATGAATGATAAACGGTATTCCCAACAATTAATTAGGGCTTATCTGTATGCTACGACTATTAAGACAATAATCACTACTTTCCAGTGACCACAATTATGTCAAACTGATGTCAGAATGACGTCATGCCACGTCATGATTTACGTAAGATATGACATATATTCCCACTCCCTGACGCAATATTCTTACATGAGAGATGACTTCTAATTGACATCATTATGACCTAACTGTCACCAGAATGAATCTCCTGTCAAAGAGAAGTACTTCAACTTCAACTTTTGGTTAATGGCTTTGTGGTAGTGTAACCAAAATTTTGCACATGTCATGTATTTGAAAGACAAACTGTCAAAGGCAAAGAGAAGTAAAGTTGCTACCGGATGCTTACGAAAATATGACGTCTAACTGACGTACTACTTGTCATTTAGCTGACGTCAAGAAGACATAAAAGTGAGTGTGAGAGTGTAATATAGTGATGTAAAGTTGCGTCCAAACGCGTACAAAGCTGGAAATCCTCCTCCATGGGAATCTTTAGTAAAAGGCAAAATAATTATACGTTATGAAAGGAAACCATAGTTTACATTATAAGAGCGCCGTAATAAACCTGCATGAGTAACGAAATCATATAACGACTCAAAAAAAAAAATTATAGCACGCCATCTATCGAGGTAAGAGGTAGTTGTCATAACCACTCAGTTATTCGGTTTGAATATGAACGAACTATAGCCAATTCAACAGTAATTATAATTAAAGTTTTATTTA